GGTTTAAAACAAAATGAAGTAAAAATGTGAAAGGAAAGCCTAAAGGCGACTAATTTCAAAGGATCAAAGTTAAGACAGAATTAATGTGGTGTCTCGTGTTTTTCTGACTCGTTTTCAAACTGCTAATTGCAAAACCGTGTAAGAAACACTCCTGTATTGCTCAAATTGACCCACTTGTTACACAATGAAGGGATTTATTTTCTTTTGTTGAGGTTAGGTCCCTCTCTGAAGGTGGACACTTGGAAAGAGAAAGGGACAGATATGTTTCAGAGGAAAGAATGAGCCCCCCCCCCCCCCCCATTGGTAAAAGGCTCCAGAGGAAGTCAGATAAAGCAATATGATGATTATTATTATTATTATTATTATTAGGGCAGCTGTGTTTGCGTCATGTCTTGACAAAACCTTCTTCTCAAAATAGAGACGGGGAAGAGGTCGGTGCAGGGGGGGGGGGGGGGGTGTCCATGAGACAAGTGATGGGTTTGGTTACAGCTATAAAAGACTTATTGTGTCCTCTTACCCGCCTTAACTTGCTCATCTTACTTCAGTCTCCAGACCTTCTGTCTTCTCCACTCTCCCTCCATCTCCTTTCCTCCACAGTTATCCACTCATCCTCACAGGTAAGACAAACATCAGCTGGCATAGCAGAGAGTTGTACACAAACAGAAATATAGAGACTGGTGTGATTAGAGGACAAATGAACAATAACGGTCATTGTGATTAATCAGGACGAGCTGATCCTCTGCAGCTGAATTAGACGACACTCCTAGTCGGAGGAATGATGAAGGCAAAGCCAGTGATGGGATGCTTTACAGCGGTGGAGCTCTTCTGTGAATGTCTGGATGAATGTGCAGTTAGAAATAATAACAAAAAAGATTACAAATTAAAAAGAAACTAATATATTTTTAAATAGAAAACTGCTATTTTTTTTACTTCTTAGTAAAATAAAGACCAAATCTGCTTCTGATAATACAGATCTTTTTATATCTGATGTGCCGTCTAAAACGGCATCGCATCTCCTCTTTATAATCGTTTGCCTCCGTTATCGGTTTCTATGCTCAAAGAAAGGAAATGTTGAATGTATCTAACCAGCTCATGTCATCTAGCTGCACGGTTGCTTAAATGTAAAGAGTAATATACGTTGTTATGTTAAAAATACATGTATATCACTGTATACATGTAAGCAACTAAGTTGAGTGGAACCAGTTGACATGACTTGGTTAAGTAAATTCATATTTTCTTTCTTACAGTGTACTCTGCAGCACTCAGACTCATAAGGGTAACAGTAGCAGGAGGTGTCAGCCAAATGACTCTAACAACGTCTCAAGTGTCAACAATAACAGGTGTTGATACACAGTCAAACAGTAGCCGTGCCTTTATTACCCCAGTTCTTGTGTCAGCTAAACACTGTAAAAAATAAATATTGAATTTACTTAAAGCTGCAATGACTAATTTAGAAAACAAAGTAGCTTAAAACAATCTTTCATGCCTGTTAACAATGTTCTAACATAGAATAGCTATGTGGAGATAAAAAAATGAAACATTGTGTTGTGGTGATGTCACATTTGTCTACAAACCTTCACCAATAACATGTTTTTGGTTGTTGGTCTCGCCGAAGCACCGCACTCGTGTTTTAGAACCAGAGCACCATAAATTTAATCTTAACATATTATATATGAGAACAGTCCTTTGTCTTTATGTCTAACAGTTTTATCTTATCTTTATCTTGTATTTTTTTATCTTACCTGCTTTTCTTTGAAGTAAAGCTAACTGTCTGTTGCTGCTGCCTCTTGACCAGATCGTCGATGAGCTCTCAATCGACTCATCAGCATAAATATAGGTTAAATAAAATAAATAAATGTGAAAGGTTCTCTGCTAAGTAATATCAGAAGGTGAAACATCTGGCTGCTACCACTTCAACTTTAGGACTAACTACCCAAGTCCCAAAAAGAAAAACACCATTTGAAGTCATAGGTAACAAAAAACATATGGAGCTAGAAAATAGCAACTGGTGTTTAGCACTTTCCTGTTTCCTCCGGCATCGCAGGTTTCCAGTTCAGAAGCGTCTCAGGGAAGACACCCGAGAGGAAGGGAGTGTTCTGTGATTGTGTTTGCGTTCAAAACCTAGCTTGTTCCGTTGATTTGCTATAACAACTTTAACTAATTCAACTGGTTCCACTAGGCCAAGTTGCTTAACTGTGTACTGTTATATGTTCTGTTTAAGAGCAAGTCACCCCCGACCAGAGCCTTACTCCACTCCTACTTCCTGTTTGAAATATGGAACAAATGCTGTTGCCTGGTGGAGCGGCTAACAAATACACACACAGGCTCATAACGGCACTGTGACATCTTATGGTATCAGCTGACATCATAGGGTACCTCTTAGCCAATAGCAATGGCAGATTTAAATTCAAATGCTGTGCAGCTTTTACCTGAAGAGGGCGCAACACTGACAGTTTAAGGAAGAACATTTTTATGTTAACTAAGATGCACTAAAGTGCCAAATTGTTGAGTACACGTGTCTACAGCATGATTAGAGACTTATTTATATAGTTAATCAGCAAAATAAAGTTGATTTGGGGTGACTTGCTCTTTAAGTAAAAGTATTTTACTCTTTACTTTGAAGGAACTAGGTTTAGTGAAACCAGTTGACATAAATTGGTTGAGTAAATTCAACATTTTCTTTCTTAGAGTGTACTTTGTGTGTGTGTGGCTCTTCTATTCTTAAAATAATTTCCAATCTCCACCATGATCCAAATTAGAAAAGTGGTTATAAAGCTCGGATCACTTTACTATAAAGAAAAACACAAGTTCCCCGTCTACAGGTTATTTATAGAACCCGTACAGGCCGGAAATGGCTTTCAATCCCCAGTGAAAGTCTGTCATTTGATAAATATGGTGCTGAAACATAAAGTCACTAATCCATTGCAGAGCTCTTCTTCTTCACATGTGTGACAAACTGCAGAGTCATCCGTCTGCAGTGAAGGTAGAAGTAAAAGCGCAGTGATGATTAACACTCAGGCCTTCCCGTTACATCGGTTATCTAAAACCCTCAACGGGGAAGATGAGACAACGTTTAAAACGTGTTGTTTTCTATTTCTGGTTTAATGTAAATTTTCAGTTGTCTAGTGGCACCTCTAAACTCTAGTTGCCATATTTTAGTCAAACACACGAAGGTGACGTAGACATCCATAGGTTCTAATTTCACTTTTTGTATTTTCTGCTCTAATCCAGTTATTGTGTTCATAGCAGAACACAATCTTTTTCATCTTTCATTGTGCTTTCATTGCAAAAATGGCCTCACAGTGGAATTAATAAAGTCTTATCTGTTTCTTTTATTCTGAACATGGTTGAGTTTTAACGTGAGTTTGTGACTTCAGTAACAAACTGTGACCACTCCAGCTAACTTCAGGGTTTGTTTCAGGATGCTGGTTCTGGTCTATAGGGCCTTACATGGACAAGCACCATCATACATTGGTGATCTTCTCAGTCCCTACACCCCCAGCAGGTCCCTGAGGTCCCGTGATCAAAGCCTACTGGTTGTGCAGCGCACCAGGCTAAAGACCAAAGGTGACAGATCATTTGCCGCTGTGGCCCCCAGACTCTGGACCTCTCTCCCCCTGAGCCTGAGATCAGTGGACTCAGTGGTCTCCTTTAAAAAGCAGCTGAAAACTCACCTGTTCAAGCTGGCGTGACCTTCGTCACCACCCTCTCCTTATTCTGCTCTTATTACGCCTTTCCTCGCGATCCACAGATTTCCCTCTTTCCTATTCGTTTTCTCTTTCCTTTTCCTTACATTATTTTTTTATCACAGTTTGTATATTTTTTCTCTCAGTTTAAACATATTTTAATCGTTTAAAAAATCTTTTTATACTGAAATGTTTTTTGTGTGAAATAACTTGTGATTTTTAAGTTGAAAGGGGCTATATAAAAGATAGTTTTCTTTCTTTCTTTAAATACGAATATTACTAAAATACTTTAACGGTCTTCTACTTTTTGCCTGAAGAAAAGAGTATTTTTGTTCCAGACAAGTTTTCAACTGATGATTCTGATCATTTTAGTGTATTTTTTTTTTTTTTTACTTTTCTTCACATTGTTTTTTTTTTTTTTTTTTTTTTTTGTCATGGGTAAAGCAGTAACTGCTTGTACTGCTGTCCAAGTATCTGTTTGAAGAAACTCCCTTTTAAACACAGAGAAGATGCAAAAAGTGTCAGTCAAACGTTCACTCAGGGTGACACTCACAAAACAAAACCTGGTGAACTGAGAGGTCTTGATCTGATGGCTTTCTATTTCCATCAAACTAACTAATAGCTGAAAAAAGCCCACCTCCAGAGATCTCCCAAAGCTCTAATTGGCGTTGGGTGCCAGAAGTCAGAGACATGATAGGTGTCAAGAAAGCTGAGAAGAAAAAATCTGTTCTTATTCTGTCTCTCTGTCCTTTGGTCATGGAGGGTAAGTTCTTCAGTTGGACTCAAGACAATGCAACTTTCAGAGGGACTATTTAGATGATCCCACATGGGGTCGTTAGGGTCCTGCAAGTGTCAGATATCATCTATAAGTGTGTGTGAGCATGCACGCTGCATATACCGGCACAAATGTGCTTGATCTCACATGGATATTCTGTTTTTATTTGAATAAAATAACAACTTAATCAAAAATGAATAAATAAACTCCTTCAAAATAAAAAGGAGGTTCTTCAGTTCGGTTGTGACACCTAGTGGCCACTGAATGCTATTGCAATAAACAAATACTTTTTTTTTACAAACTTAGCTGGATTTATTAATTCTCAACATGTTCCCCTTTCTAAAGGGCACAGTGAAAAGTATTGATCCACTTATGATGTACATAAAACACAACATAATGTGGCAAATATGATGAGCATGTATTATCATCCTTTTTGCATGTTTCAGTTCACATTTGATGTCGTCGACTCAAAGATTTAGTTTGCTTGTTTCTCTCGTCTGACATTGCACATTTGAAATCCTTTCTGTCCCTCTCTGCAGCTGGCAGAATGGTAATGACAGATCTGTTGAAGGCTGAGGAGATCAAGAAAGCTCTTGATGCCTTTGCAGGTCTGTTTCTTTCTTTGTTCTCTGCAGCTCGGTTTGCCTTTCTCAGCAGGACACAAAGCAAGAAAACCTTTTCTTGTTCTGTACCTGTAGCATTACTGTAAAAGTGTCCTCTAATGTCCATTTTAACTCTTGTAGCTGCAACCTTTGAACCGAAGAAGTTCTTTGAAATGGTGGGAATGAAGGCCATGTCAGCTGACAATGTCAAGAAGGTCTTCCAGGTTCTGGATGTGGATGGTAGTGGCTTTATAGAGGAGGAGGAACTCAAGTAAGATCATGCAAAAGCAAAAACATTGACAGTAAAATAAATGCATGTAATGCTAGAATTATGCACGACTCCATAGGTTTGTACTGAAGGGGTTTTCTAAAGATGGCAGGGATCTGACTGATACGGAGACAAAAGCATTCCTCCAAGCCGCAGACAAGGACGGTGATGGCAAGATCGGCATTGATGGTGAGAGACAGGAGAGACGTCACTGTCCGACGAGACAGCTGCCGTGTTCAGGACCAAAGATAATGAAGCACCTGCAGTTTAGACTTTGTGCTCACTTTCATTTTAACTTTTCTCTTCATTTGCAGAATTTGAGGCCTTGGTGCACGAGTAAGAGCGGGGGTGAACCCCTTGTTCTTCCTCCTCTTCAACCCCACGTTCACATTTTGCAACTGCCACCTTCAAGCTCTTCCGTTTTCCTTCTGGACCCGATGATCGGAGACCGACCGGGCCTGTTCCACACGACACACTACCTAAAACGGGCCAACAGGGACGAGGAGAATCATACAGGAATAAAAGACATCAGTTTCACTTATAGTTTTTCCATTTTTTATTTATATTTACCCACACATGACGTATGGATTTCAGGATTATTGCTAATGACTAATGAGGATAGATCGTGGTCTAATAAGAGATGTACTAGAGCTTTGAACGGTGTTTCTGTTTCTCTCATCTGTTTTATGGTTTGTACAGTTGTGCATCATGTCTTTACCACATTTATCTTTGGATGTTGGCACATCAGTTCACTTTCGTTCCTCTCTTTTCCTCCTCTCTCTAACACTCATCTTCTTCTTCTCACCTCTTGACCTTCCTCCTCCTCCTCCTCCTCCTCCTCCTCACTCCCTGCCTCTGATCATGTGATGTAGTAAAAATAATTTCTAAGGAGAGCCGTGAAGAGAGAAGACATGAGTAAGAAACGATAATAAAGAAAACTTTTGAACTATTGTGTCTTTGTTTTTCACTGAGATCACAAAACACCCGAATCATCGTCGTCTTCCTCCGCTTATCCGGGTCCAGGTCGCGGGGGCATCATCCCAACTAGGGAGCTCCAGACCGTCCTCTCCCCAGGCTTCTCCACCAGCTCCTCCGGCAGGACCCCAAGGTGTTCCCGGACCAGATTGGAGATGTAACCTCTCCAACGTGTCCTGGGTCGACCCGGGGGCCTCCTGCAGCAGGACATGCCCAAAACACCTCCCCAGGGAGGCGTCCAAGAGGCATCCTGACCAGATGCCCAAACCACCTCAACTGACTCCTTTCAATCCGGAGGAGCAGCGGTTCTACTCCGAGTCACTCCCAAATGTCCGAGCTCCTCACCCTATCTCTAAGGCTGAGCCCGGCCACCCTACGGAGGAAACTCATTTCGGCCGCTTGTATCCGTGATCTCGTTCTTTCGGTCATTACCCAAATCTCATGACCATAGCTGAGAATTGGGACGTAGATCGACCGGTAAATCGAGAGCCTGGCTTTCTGGCTCAGCTCCCTCTTCACCACGACAGATCGACTCAGTGTCCGCATCACTACAGACGCTGAACCAATCCGCCTGTCGATCTCCCGATCCCTCCTACCCTCACTCGTGGACAAGACCCCGAGATACTTAAACTCCTCCACTTGAGGTAGGACCTCTCTCCCGACCCGGAGTTGGCAAGCCATCCTTTTACAGTCGAGAACCTGATCCTCATCCCAGCTGCTTCACACTCGGCCGCAAACCTACCCAGCAAGAACTTAAAGTCAGAACTGGATGAAGCTAGGAGGACCACATCATCCGCAAAAAGCAGAGACGAGATTCTCCTGCCACCAAACTCGACACACTCCACACCACGGCTGCGCCTAGAAATTCTGTCCATAAAGGTAATGAACAGAACCGGTGACAAAGGGCAGCCCTGGCGGAGTCCAACCCTCACCGGGAACAGGTCCGAATTACTACCGTCTATGTGAACCAAACTCACGCTCCTCTGGTAAAGGGACTGAATGGCCCTTAACAAAAGGCCACCCACCCCGTACTCCTGGAGCGTCCCCCACAGGGTGCCCCTGGGGACACGGTCATAAGCCTTCTCCAGATCCACAAAACACATGTGGATTGGTTGGGCAAACTCCCATGCCCCCTCCATCACCCTTGCAAGGGTATAGAGCTGGTCCACAGTTCCACGGCCAGGACGAAAACCACATTGCTCCTCCTCAATCTGAGATTCAACTATCGATCAGACCCTCCTCTCCAGTACCTTGGAGTAGACCTTTCCAGGTCTAAACCAATAACAGCCTTCCTCATCACAAGCCAAGATGGTGGGTCCATGAATGTTAAGTAATGGTGTGATGTAGATTTGTCAGACTTTTCAAATCCTAGATTTTCACCATCTGTTTTCTATGAGAAGCTAATCCAGGAGATAGGTGTAGGAGACTATTTTAATGTTTAGCCTGCATGGAAAACTCAAACTGACTGATTATAATCAGAAATAAGATTTTAAAAATGCTTTTTCAGTGTTCCACACCTTTAATGAAAGAAATGATCTTGAACATAAGATCCAAACACTCAAAAAACCTTATTTCTCTAAATATGTACAAAGGGTTTCAAAAATCAAAATTCCACTTTCATGTTTTCACTTTTTAGAGGTAATAAAGCTCACACTTTTGGATTAGGTACAAAAAGTAACCTAGCTTATTTACAAAACCTCCAGTTCTGTTCACCAGTCTAAAGGCCCTCACAGTTAAGAAAGACAAAAATAAGAGATCTCCTGCCTCCACCTCCGCCGACGGATCAATGGATCCGAGGAGCAGACCTGTCGTTAGTCGTCGTGGGGCGAAGCTTTACTGTGGCGAATGGGTTTGTGCCTCTGAAACGAGAGTATAACGGAAAATGTTACACAATACAGCACACACTCAACACACACACACACCTGATCTAGGTTAGAAACCTGACAACACACTCTGAGGAAGGTAACATTTCACTTCAGGTGGTCAGCATGCCTCATGGTCGCTTTTTCTACAACTCAGTTTACTGTTTCAAAAAGATGAGCTCATCTTTAGTGTAAACATGGCTGGTAATATAATATATATGTAATTTAATATATAGGTAATATTTAAACAGATTCACCTGGGAAACAAAGGGTTATCGGGTGGGCCAGGCGGTGATAATGTCTAAGAAAGGAGAGGTGATGTAGAATTAGAGAATTTTTCACGTGGAAATTTTCTTCCAAATTCAAGACAAAGTACCTGGACATCTGAAACTTTGTCAGTCTGTCCTTTTGGAACTGAAGAGACTGGTCGAAAATCTGCAGATCCCCTTCTGAGATTCAAATTTTGTGAAGGAGGTGGTGGAGGAAGAAACAGAGGCTTTGTCTCCACTGCAGCTTCTGCCTTCCTCTCAGGGACCGGAGAGAATGGTCGGAAGTCTGCAGACGCTCTACGGTTGGGTGTAACCGGTGGTGGGACATCGCCATGACCCCTGGCCTCTGATGGGTCGGTATCAAGCAGATTGTTCATGCTGTGGCTTCGTACAGAACCACTACTGCAAAGGTCAGACGTTTGACAGAATGTTACAGCTCATTTTTCCGCACAGAACGATGACCTAAACGTTGCTAATATCTTTGTGAAAACATCTCTCTTCTGTAATTCTGCTAGCAGACTGGCAGGAACTCCCACCTGGTTGCTATGGAGAAATTTTCAACCGGAGCCACGTATGCAGCTGGGAACCAGCCCTGACTGATGAAGATAAAACAAAACAGATTACAAAACTACAAGTTCAAAGTAACTTCCCTGGCCTCTACAGCAAAATGAATCATTTACATGAACCTAGCTCGTTGACCAACGTTTTGTGCTGAATGAATCTTTAATAAAACTGTAGCTTTACCACCTGTGCGTATGATATTACACATAATGAACCCACCGCAGGCTGGTGTCAGTGCGTCCATACAGCCAGCCGTTACGAGGCTCTTGGACCAGAACAGTGACAGTTTCTCCTCGACTGAATGGTAAAAGCTTTGGGTTGGATGAAGAGGGGTGAGACACCAGGGCTCTCATGGGTCTTCCTCCTCCCAAACCCAGAGATTCCCCCACTGAGCTGGAGCGGGAGCGGTTGGGGAGCGGGGATGGCGCTAGAGGGTCACAAAAGAAGCAGTAAGCATGAAGAGAGGAGAAAATGTTTATCATATAGTCAGCTTTTAATATACAGCTGCAAATGAGTGGATGTAGCTCTCACCTCTGGAGGGCACTCCGCCTAGCGCCAGCTGCTCCCGCCGGGCCCAGGACATATCCTCGTCTCTGGCTACGGTCTGCAGCAGAGAGCCCACTGATCCTCGAAGCTACACAGATTACAGATTATATATCATCCAGTGAAAATCATCATAGGAAATCTGAAAGTTCGTGTTTTGAAATCTTAATTGTTCTGCAGCTCTGTTCGTGCATTTTTTTAAAAAGTGTGATGGTCTTTGTTTCTTCTTAAGTCGTTTTATGTCAGCTCTGAACTTGCACCAATGCAGTAGCAGCTAAACAGTTAAGTACAGGCTGGCTAATGTGTGGGATGATATACCTGCACCTCTTGATCCAAATGATTAGGAGTTCGAGAACCTCTGGTCTCATTCACTTTCTCCTTCCACCCATCTGCCTTCTGCTGCAGGGAGGTACCAGTCTGAATGTAGATAAGAGACATGAGCAGCTAATCAGACAGAAACAAGATGAACACAAATTTAAAATGCGCATTTAGACTTCAGTTTCATAAAAATCAACATGTTCGCTCATGACTGAAGAAAAATGTCGAGAAACTTTGAATATTTTGCTAAAGGAAGATGGAAAAGGGGAGTTCTCACCTCCCCCTGCTGGTGTAAATTTGTAAATGCAAGACTATTCATAATTTAATTAAACATTATATATATATATATATATATATATATATATATATATATATATATATATATATATATATATATATATATATAGTTATTTTTATTATTATTATTATTATTATAAGCAAACAAATATAAGAAATGGTGTTCTTTGGAATTGCTTTTAAAATATAGCACTTCCTGGTGAATTGCCTTGTTACAAACGTTACTCACAATATGTAAATCTATTTCAGGCTGCTGAGAAGTCTTTGTGGTTTCTTCTTCATATTTTAAAGCCCAATGTGAGGTGAGAAGTAATCATTGAACTGAAATCTGAAATGCATTCCATCAAATGTTACTAAATAATCCACTCTGACCCTTATAGGTTGAGTAGTATTTTTTTTTCACCTTTTTATTTTCATTTATTGACTTTAAAATAAAAATACAGAACAAAATTGCTACAAACCAAACTGAAAAAGGGGACAGAGAGAAGAAAAGCGTATGCTATCTGCCCCTTTTAACTAAAATAACATTAATTCAAATGAAACAATCATATGATTCTTAAGATATTTTAACAATATAGTTCCTGGACTGGCTGGCCGACACAACCTCAACCCATGAATTGAAAAAAGAAAGAAAACAAGTTACACGGGAGGAAGCATAAAGTTATAGACCTATATACATACATATATACACATATGAATACATAGACGTGTTTCCTTTTTTTCATCCCCCCAACCCCCCTCCCCTCACGCATTTATGTAACAGATCTATATAAGTTAATCATTTCATTTTTTATCTCTTTTTTGAAAGTCAGTATTGTTTTTGCATTCTTGATTTCAGTATTTAATTTATTCCACATTTTAACTCCATATATGGACACACAATGTTCCTTTATGAGTATCCGATGTCTAGGTATGTTAAATAATTAATGTCCTTTTAAATCATATTTGCTATGTCTTTTTGTAAATCTTTTGATTAAACCTGCAGGTACGTTCCTTTTGTTTGTATTATACATAAATTTTAAAATATTGTAGTCCACCAGATCATAGAATTTTAGTGTTTTTAATTTTATAAATAATGGATTGGACGGATCTCTGTAGATGCTCCTTGTGATTATTTTTATTGCTTTTTTCTGTAAAATGTAAATGGAATTTGTGTAAGTTTTATATGTTGTTCCCCAGATTTCAGTGCAGTAGTTCAGGTATGGTATGATCAGTGAGTTATATAACAAATATAGTGAATTATTATCAAGTGACCATTTTGCTCTATGTAACAGTGCAATAGTTTTAGATATTTTAGTTTTGACACTGTTTATATGCAGTTTCCAAGATATTTTTTCATCAATGATGACTCCCAGATACTTCACTTCTTTAACTCTTTTAATATTAATCTCATCTATATTTAATAAAATTTCATCATTTGAATATGTATTACTAAATATCATAAAACATGATTTATCCCTGTTCAATGATAGTTTGTTCCCATAGTTTAATTTTTTTCATCTCTGTTTGTATCACTTCTATCATCTGCTCAACATTATCTCCTGAATAATAAAAGGTTGTGTCATCTGCAAATAAGGTGCATTTTAATATATTGGATACCTCAACAATGTCATTTGTCAAATGATAAATAGTTTAGGGCCCAGTACCGACCCTTGTGGTACACCACAAGTAATGTTATTTATATGTGATTTTGTGTTGTTTATTTGAACCAATTAATGCCTATCGGTAAGATAACTTGTTGTCCATTTTAGGGCCATCCCTGTGATGCCATATCTACTAAGTTTTTCAATAAGAATTTTATGGTCCACTGTATCGAATGCTTTTTTTAAATCAATAAAGATACTCATGAGATGAGTTTTTTTGTCAATGGCTTCCGATATTTCGTCTGTTAATTCCATTAATGCCATGGATGTTGAATGATTTGTTCTAAAACCATACTGACTGTCATTTAATATCTCTTCTTTGATCAGGAATCGGTCCAACCTAGCAATATATAATTTATCTAATATTTTTGAGAATTGTGACAATAAAGATATTGGTCTATAGTTGGGAAAAGATATGTTTGTCTCCACTTTTATGAATTGGTATGACTTTTGCAATTTTCATCCTGTTAGGAAATGTCCCTGTTGCAAAAGATAAATTACATGCGTAAGTCAATGGATGAATAATACTTTCTATTATATTTTTTATTAATGTTATGTCTAAACCATCACAGTCAGTACTTCTTTTATTGATGCATTTATTGATATTTCTTATTTCATCACTAGTTACTGGACTTAAATATATACTGTTTTTATTGCTTTTGTTTTTTGCCAAGTCAGGTCCCCCATTAGTATTTTAAATTCCTGGTGCAGGATTTATTTGAAGCAAGGCACTGTGGAAAATGTCTGAAACAAAACCAGTTTAAACAAGGATATGGAGAAACAGCGAGGATAATACACTTAGAGTGGACTTGTTGTGTGGGACTAGTAGACCTGAATTTACCTTGTTTACAAGAAACAATAGAGACTGAGTGAGGCCGCAGTGCTTCTCTGCCAGGAAACGATACCTCCTCTCCTCTTCCTTCAGGATCTCCTGCTGACTCTGCCTCAGGTAAATCATGTAGTCACTGTTCTCCTAAAAGCAGGAACACATTAAACTATTTTTGCACGTACAGTGGCACAAAAGTATCACTAATCTGTGTGCGTACCAGAGAGTCTCTATAAGCTCCTCGTCTAAGTTGTTTCTCCAGAGCTTCGGCCTGGTTCCTCACCTCCAGCTCGTACACTCTGCGACTGCCCTGCAGAACATTAATTTTCAGGAATCACGACTTTGCCTGAATGTGTTTTTAAGCGGTACGCTGAGTGATGTTTGTGCAGAGGTGCTCTGCTTTACTCTTGGCCACATTTAATGCTAGCAGGGAATCATGTTGCAGGTCGCCCCACTCACTCATAACCAAACCTCAAGTTCCTGCAAAAAACAGCGTGTTCTTGCTCTGGCTGTTTTACAAGGCTGGCACATCTAAAACAAATGCTGAGGGTATTTGTTTCTATTGAATGCACAACTGTAAAAAATCAGAAAGTTGCTTTTGACTGTTGATTTTATTTGTTGTGGACCAGAAAATACTGAATTTTAATCATGTGCAATCCATCTCCTGATCTTATCAGCTCTCGGACACGTGTGCATGCCTTTGATGGTGAGTTTGGTGAGTAACTAAGTTCTGTTTATAGTTGCTTGGGCTACTTTAGGATTTAACTTTTTAATAAAAAATAAATAAATACAAGATTTTACTCTGTAGCCTCAGGCAAAAATTAGGAACGGGGGACTGCTAATTCTCTGGGTTAGCCTTAATGTGTATCGTCCTGCAGCAATTAGCTGTGCAACACAAAAAATGTACGTTGACTTTCTCTAACAATGTTTTATTAGCATATCTGCTAATTAATGTAATACTATTTGCTGCTGTTGTGTAATGCTACTGTGGAGGTAAGTTGCAATAATTTAAGCCACCAAAAGGTGGCCCTGAAGTCCTATCAGCTCTAGCTGCATATTCATAATCAGTTCTGCTATATTCAATTTAAAAATTATAATATCTACTTCATATTTGCAGATCTCCAATCAACAACTTACTCATATCAGCTCACCTCAATGTACTCTTCATCTAGCTTGATATTCTTCTCCATTGCTTGCAGCACCTCAACCTGGAACCACTGAAACTGTAGCAGGAAAAAAGACACAACTTTTGTTATGCAGCAAAAACCTTTGTGTGTTTATATTTGTTTTTCATTAGCGTTAAAATTGTAGTTATTTGAAATTTGAAATACTGCATTTAAAATGTTTTAAACTTATTTAATCATGCTAATGCTTTGGGATGCAGTTACTTTACATTTAACAAGTAAAAATACCGACCACTCCTTCCATCTCTGCTGTGAGTCTTCTCTGAGTTTCTGATATCTGAATCAGAACATCTCCTGTGTAAAGTAGAAAGAAAATACATTGTGAGTTATTTGACTGGGTCATGAAATGTCACTATAGGTTTTCTGCATCTGTATACAGTTTTTCTCAGTCGCTTTGGTGCGTTTCTCAGATCAGAATTAAAATTCTCATAACTATTAGTTCAACCTCCACAACATTTAGTCATTTGTGCACATCATAGTAGCAATTTATCCTTTCTCTGAACAAACTGCAAATGATTTTGGACATGTATCAGTTGCTTTCATACATTTCTCTGCTGTTTTTTGACATTTCCATTTGCTTATGTCATGTCAGTCAAAATGAATTATACTTATGGATGCTGAATATTCACTCTCAATAAAACTAATAGTCTTACTTTCATTGCTTGAGTCATTACACAAAATTGTTGAACTAGTTATCAAATGTCAAATATCAGTCATCTGTCAAGCAAATTCTAAACCTTTCTTTATCATTTTATTCTGGAAATGTCTCCTAAATTGAACAATTGATCACAGGTGAATTTCATCTGTCACTCATGAGGAGGTGAATCCTCCATTGGCAAGCATACAGTATATGAACTGAGCAGGAGCTAGTGTGTACCATTTCTATACTTCTGTATACTTCTCCACTCCAGGAGATACTTTCCTCGCTGCATTGCGAGGGATGACATCCATTGTGATGTAGATGAAAATATGTGGCCAGACAGACAGGAACGTCTGGATGTGCCAGAATGATTTACTGTACCTGTATGTTACAGTACTGTGCAATACTGTATGTACTGTTACATGTACTGTATATTGTTCACATTTGTGCACAGTTCTACCAAAAGGGTGATTTTTTGTTTACATGTATTCTACAGTAAACAAGTGACTGTAGCATATTTTCCTTTTGCACAATGCTGTAGAATTACAAACACTTCCATACAGTAAAAATGTAAAACGTACGTATTCAGTGTCTCAGTTACTCCCAAAACTCCCATAACATCTACAGTAACTTTACTGCACATTTCAAATGGCTGTACAAGTAGGGCATAGTGCTGTCTTGAGCATTTTCTGGTGTCACCAAATATTCTTGCAATGGAAAACACTGAAATTATAAACTGTCATAGTGAAAACATGACAAGGCCATTTGACTATCTTGTTCATAGAGATGGTGTCAAGACTTTTCATTTTGATGGCACTGACAGTTTCATTGACATGAATACTTGCTTTTGAGGAATGGATTATCAATTTTGAGCATGTGACGTGATTTTGCAGGCTATCCACTAGGTTTTGCAGTTTGCACTAATTGTTTTGAGAAATGCACTAACTGCTGTGCAAATGTTAATAGTGTTCTGAGAAACGCACCAAAGCGACTGAGAAAAACTGTAATTTAAAGGTGCATTATGTAAGAACGACATCTTGTGGTCAAACTTGGGTACTGCAGACCCTATATCAAATCTGCTCAGAGTAACTGTTGCCAGTTACGGATCAGTGCCACAAGATTCTCGATGACAACCAAAGATGAGTCATACACAGTAAGTTGATAAGTATATACATACATTCCTCACCTCTCACAGGACACCTTTCACAAAACTGTCTGCTTGACCCTTACCAATCTGGGTTCAAATATGGCCACTCCATTGAAACAGGTCTGTTAGCAGTGACAGAATCCTTAAAAGATGATTGATCTATCGGCTGAATTTGACACTGTCAACCATGACTCCCTTTTGTCTATACTCTCTCTGGGCATCACAGGGAAAGCACACACTTGGCTTGAATCGTACCTGACAGGACGATCTTTCAGTGTATCTTGGCTTGGACAATCTTCTGCTGTTCACGATCTTGCCTCAGAAGTCCCCCAGGGCTCTGTACTAGGACCTCTTTTCGTTACCATATAAACCACCTCACTGGGTGAGATCATTCGATCGCATGGCTTCTCCTACCACTGCTATGCCGACGACACCCAGCTCTATCTGTCATTCCCACCGGATAACCGCACAGTCTTTGCACGAATCTCGGACAGTCTTTCTGACATATCAAGATGGATGAAATCCCACCATCTCTAACTCAACCTTTCTAAAACTAAAACTGCACCCCTTCAACTACTGCAATGCCCTCTTACCTAGTCTTCCAGCCTGTACTGTGAGACCTCTTCAAATGGTCTAGAATACAGAGGCGCGTCTGGTCTTCAATCAGCCTAATAGAGCATATGTCACCCCTCTCTTGAGCTCCAGTGGCAACCGCTAGCTGCACGCATCAAATTCAAATCCCTAGCACTACAAAGTCCTGGATGGTACGGCTCCCATCTACCCGAATCCTCTTGCAAAGGCTTACGTCACGGCTCAGCCACTCCGGTCATCAAAGGATCATTGGCTAGCAGTGCCTACCAGACTCTTTTCATGTATCATTCCACAGATGTGGAATGACCTACCAAGCACTACAAGAATAGGGGCTTCCTTGTCGATTTTCAAGAAACACCTGAAGACCTGACTCTTCAGAAAGCATCTTCTAAACTAGCACCCTCCCAGCATTCATCCCCCACTCTACTACACACTCCATGTTCACTTCTCTTGTTTGTTGTTAGCCTCAAGGGCAACCTAAGTCGCTTTGGACAAAAGCGTCTTTTAAATATATAAACATAAACATTTCATTTGTTGGTGATTGATTAAAGTAGCTTAATATATTTTTTGCGCAGAGTATTCATTTTCTGATTCATTGTTAGCATTTTTAGCTGAAGGTTAGCTCAACGTTAGCCTTTGTCAACCAATATTGGAGTAAAACAAAAATATGCCGTGGCTTCTTAAGGGTACTAGAAATAACTTCTGGGTCACTCCTTTTACTGGCTAAGATTCCTTCCACAACGCTGCTGACTTCTGGCGGCCAGTGTCGAATTACAAATGCAGTTGCAGACTTGGCAACCTCTGCGGCATCAAATTTGATTGGCTCTGGAAGCAGGAAGTACAGAGGTAGGACAGATTGTAAACAAGGCCTATGATGGATATCTGTTTCAGAGTAACCTTCCTTCCAACATGACTGAGACTTAGGTCGTTTTGTGATTATATCACTGTGAAACTCTTACTTATTGTACCGTTAAAAGGTGTGGTTCACTCGTTTAATCAATACATTTGCGGGGGTTTCTGGTAGGAATGAATGCTTGCAAGATGTACTCAGGACAAAAAAAGCCCAGAAATACTTGGATCAGCAGGGACTAGACTGCTGCAGCAGAGTGTCACAATACAACAGGTTTTGGAGTCTTATTTCCTGATATTTGGACATCTCACTTTGGATTGGGTAACAGCAACGGCTTGCCTACCACGGACTTGCAATGTGGATGTTTTATCTCCGCAAACAACACAAGCCTGGAGGGTGATGTTGCTAATATTAACAGTTAGGTTCTACTTGTCAGGACGTTCTCTACTGTTTCCTGGACGTTAAAACAATAACAATATTCCCCGTCTTCAGTCAAGATGGGTGAGTCCATGAATGTTAGGTGACAGTGTGAAGTAGATCTGTCAGGCATTTCTAATCAGAGATTTTCACCATCTATTTTTTATCAGAAGCTATCACAGGAGATAGGTGTAGGAGACTATTTTCATGTTCAGCCTGCATGAAAAACTAACAGTGACTGATTAAAAGAGGAAATAATATTTAAAAGATGTTTTTTTCATAGTTCCACACCTTTAAATAACTACCGGTTTCTAATAGAGTGTTTACATTAAAAAAGAAATAAATCTCAATTTCATAATAAAGCAACTCTTTGTGTTGATTCAAGCCTACCTCTGCTGTAGCAGTCTGGGTTATCTGATATATGACTTTCACACTATGACTCAGGTCATTAAGGCTCATTTAATCCAACCATCCAAACTGCTAAGAAGGTTGAAGGTTATCAACAACTTTACATTATGAGTGCCTCTGGGCTTATTTCTTGAGAGTAAATTAATGAACTGAGTGCAGTTAAATGACTGTCTTCATCTATAATTCAGATGTCATCACTTTAGAGGGCCTGTGGTCACGCTGTGGTTCCCTTCTCAGGCAGAACAACCTAGATTAGTATTTGTCATGTTGTTGTTGTTGAGGCTTTACACTCTTAAAAAGGAACTCAGTACCATAATGTTTACAGTTTTTAATTAAAGCTAGCACTCTTCTCAAGAGACATGGTATACATGATACTGTTAACAACAAATGTGTACCTATAAGACAGAATATAAGAGATATTCTACTTCATAATTAGTGTGTGGAGAACCACCTTGATAAAGATTGACCAAAACAAAAAAAGAATATATATATATATATAAATACACATACATATATACCTATACATATATACATATATATATATATATATATATATATATATATATATATATATACATACGTACATACATACATATACATACATACGTACATACATACATACGTAGATACAGTACATACATACATACATACGTATATATATATATATATATATATATATATATATATATATATACATGCCATTTTTTATCAGGGAAATTTATGCTTCTTTTTCTTGAATGTGAGAAATTAAGTTTAATACTTGCTGACTAACATAAACACACATTCACAGGGACACACTCTTACCAAGAGAATGAGACGAAAGTGTGTGAAGGGCCTGATCACCCATCTTAGCCACAGCACTGAAGTAGGCCTCACTGCAAACAGCTAAGGCTGCAGAACACACACACACACACACACACACACACACACACACACACACACACACACACACAGACGACATCAGGAACTGCTGTTATCACACATTTTCAAAAATGCTCTTAATTGTGTCGCTAGAAAATCCTTTTATTTAGGAAGATAAGCCCGGCAGCGCTGACAGCTGATACGTGATTCTGGTCCAGGAATAAACCTCGTGCCAGAGGGTTTAGTGTTACCACGCTGCACTGTGAGTGACGGCTTATTCGTATTTCACGAGAAAGAGTGACGCATTAATGATGCATGCTGCTCATCCCACTCACTAGTGTGATGACGACTTAGAAAATATCAATATGTTAATTTGTTGTGATTTTGCTTTCTTGTAACATGAACTCAAAATTTATTTTAGCTGAGAATTTATTGCAGTGCTGTTTTTTTAAATCTCACGTTTAACCACGCAAATTTTATTGAACACTCCAGTCTTGAAGCTCTATAGAAAACAACATTAAAAATTAAAGGACTCACACTCCTTGAAATATTGCAATGATATATGACATGTGAACGTCTATCAAATCAGGTTCGAGCTCAGTGTCTGTTAAATGTTCAGGCTTATAGCCAAGTTGGCTCCTTATACATCCAGTTATTACTTTCTGGAAGTTTATTCAAATGCATCCAGCGGTACTTGGGATACTTTACTAAAAGAGTTGGCCACAATTCTTATAAAAAATGTATTGAAAGTTATCGATAGAATTTCCCCGCGTCTTGTCCAGCTGTAAAGCAATCAGAATTTATGTTTGAGTGTCGAAGACAAGCCTGTGACAGCAGTAGCTCGGGAGGTAAAGCAGGTCGTCCAGTAATTGGAAGGTTGCAGGTTCGATCCTGGCTCTGATTGCTGCTACTGTGTCCTTAGGCAAGAGACTTAACCTGCCTTGCCTGCTGGTGGTGGCGCCAGTGTTCGACAGGCCTCGCCTCTGTCAGTGAGCCCCAGGGCAGCTGTGGCTACATTGTAGCTCATCCCCACCAGCATGTGAATGTGTGTGTGAGTAACTGATCGTGTTGCAAAGTGCCTTGGGGGGCTGTAGAACCCTAACCCTGGTTTCACACTGGAAGCATCAGCAGCGTGAAACGGCAGCAGAACGGTTTACTCGCAGACTTCAAAGCGGTCTTTTTCACACCGGGAGAGTCTTGGCAAAGGCACGGCTTCCTCTCTGTGCTCTTTGCAGGACTCACGAAATTACAAGATCCCTCGAGACTTCAGGTCACGGTTTGTTTATACAATTCACCATTAAACCCAAAAGAAGGAATTCACGTTTGATATTGCTTTTTGATGTCATATACATATATGATGTTGTTCCTCTCCAGTGCCTGGATTAAAGCCATGAAAAACACACCGCTGCACTTCTGGAATGATGTTGTAAGTAAATAATCAGCTGGGTCACACGTGAGCTTCATATATATGAAATTGCATTGCTGCAGTACTTTTATTTTGAAATTTACCAGTGATTTTACACTGAAGCTGTGTATGATTTCCTGTCAAGCTCTATGTTAACTGTGGAAATTGATGCATCCCAGAAGCGGCACGCGGCAAAAATAGACCCCGACCATATCTTTAGCGGTGTGGCGCGACATTTCTAGGACGTGCTGGTTTGAAACACTCCATAGACTATAATGGATTCCATCTGAAGCAGTGATGTTCCGCTTCTGTTCCGCACCGCCGATGCTTTCAGTGTGAAACCGGGGTAAGAAGGTGCTATACAAATACAGGCTATTTACCATTACAGTTTTACTCTCACAGGTGGAGCGTTATAGACTCAGCTATAATGCCTTGCCTGGTATTAAAAATTTTATAGAAATATTTTGGTTGTTTTAAATTCCAATGGACACGGAGATGGAAATGAAAGAGAATGGGGGAGGAAAGGAAGAGGTGGGGGAGCGGATGTACAAGAATCCACTTCTAGACCTGCAGAAAGACAGGGAAAAAATGGTGGCACAAAAAAATACCACAGAAACAAAATATCACTGTGCCGCCAACATGAGGATGTATAACAACAGTAACAATTTTTGCTGAAAAACACACAGTAATAATTCACAGTGTATTTAGTGCCAACCACAGCCTTAGTTATGTGTCAAAATCACCCAAATGTGCACCTGTGTGCGTACATGTCCAACAGTGAGTGTGAGGGGCCATAGACCTGCGGAAGATGGGGGAGATCCAAGCCCCAGAGATCTAGGGGTCTACAGGGAGAGATTGCCACCGGAGCAACCCCAACCCCCTCCCAAGAGGGCCAGCGGCCTAGGAGATAATAACGGCAAGCCCACAGGCCCACCTGCAGCCGCCCACTCCAGGGCAGGCCGAGTTTGGAACTCAGTGGCCCGGGGACTGACCAGCCAGTCATTTTTCTGTTTGCTAATGTCAATTAGCTGTGTTGGCCATCTTGAAGTGGGTTGACTGTAGAATTTAGTCACTTGTATTTGTCCACCCGATGAATATTTGCTGAAAGATTCATTAAATGATTCTTGAAGCAGTTTAGAAAGCTGTACTTTTGTACTTTAACCCATTTAAAAAGCTGAAATTGAATCTACAGAAGTCATTTTAAAACCTTGTATACTTCCACCTGAGTAATGAACGAAAATTCTTTTGACTCCTCTCAATATACAAAATCCACCCCGACATTAGAATGACCTTTTGTAAAGTCAGTCTTACTCACCTTGGAAAGCTTTAACGTAGCTGTTTCCAAGTGCAACAAGCTTCTCGAGACCTGGGTTGAATTGCTCCATGAGGTGCTGCAGTCACACAGTTAAAAAAAGAGTCAACGGGGGAAATTCAGCTCCATGTAATGAACTCAAATAAAATAACTTAAGCTCACCGAGTAGACGCTTAAAGTTGATTTATGTAGATTCTCACTGCTGACTTTTGACATGGTGACCAATTTCCAAAGACAAAATTAAGTTCAGAGAAAAAAAACTGTCAGACTCAATGAAGTTTTGTTAAATTGAAGGTCTGTATTTCCATTCAAATTTATGAAAAAGTTTCTTCCAGTTGCCTTTCCTCGGTCCACAGAGAGTCCCACTCTTTCTGCTGCTGATCCAAAACCAATAACACCTTTCCCTCCCTCCCTCTTTTTTTGTTGTCCATTAACAAGCTCCTTTGCAGGCTTGTCATCACCTTTTTGTGTGGAGAGAGAGAGCAAGCATGTGCAAAGAAGAGAAAAGGGAGTAGGTGGCATTGATATGACTGGATGAATTATTGATTCATGGCCTGAAAGAAAAGGAGGACAGCCAGACATCCCTATGACGTGTGGACTCACACCCGAAGAAGCATTGTAACCCAGGTGAAACCAGTAACTGTCCTAAAATCGGGCAGATGTTAAGCAATAATTTTAAATAAATTAAAAATGTATTTTCTAGTTGCAATTCTTGTTTTTTATGTACCTTTTTTAAAATTAAATTTAAGTTATCTTATGGTCAGCTAAATAAAAAATAACAACAGGGATATCATTTCGGTTTTGATTGTAGTGTATTTTTGTAAAACTGTATTTATAACATTTGTTTTTAATTACCATTTTGACCTTTAATGATTCAAGTCACAGTTTACAACTTTCAGACACAAAACAACCATTGGTAAAGAAGAATCTTTTATAAACAATAACAATTAAGCTCAATAAGATGCATAAGAAGCAGACTGGTTCAGATTTTGCTTGGTTGAGACAAAAAGACAAAAAAAAAAAAAAGATAAATAGTGATATCCCTCTTAGGTTCTTTCCACAACCCAATTAGTGATGCACTGATATGAAATTTTTAGGCCGATATCAATATCCGATATTAAGATCATTATGGCCGATAACCGATATTTGCCCATACCGATATACTGACATTAATGCTTCTAAAACCAGCAGATTTTGTTTATAATGAAAATTATTAAAGCAGAACTTACGTTATTATGTACACACAACACACACACATTTACAGATCGGAGATGATTTCATTCACTGTTCACATGACTAAACAATCCCCCCCCCCCCCCCCACACACACACACACACACACACCCCACACACACACAGAAAAGAAATGTGATCTTACCCTGAAATGTGATCGAATAATGAAAATATGCGTCTAATGCAGTCAAAATAAAAAATCTCGGTAATGTTTGTGGCTGGCATTCATGCTAAAAGTTACCTCCATTATTTTGTTTCTCAGTGATGTACTGGAAATTTCCCCCAAAACCATGTTTATGCTCTGATTGTGAGCTACTAAAAGATTTCTTGCAGGACATGTTTTATATAACAGATGATACAAGAGAGAGGTGGGATGCTGCTCACTCTTTAGTGCTCCATTTCAAATGTGCAAGGTCATCATAGATGACATTCTGGCCACTGCCATCATTTCTCCGTTGCTCCTGGCAATGACTTACAGTCTCCAGGACAGTTTTCAAACGTCTACTGAGAGCGGCGAGGTGAGGCTCAGAGAGCAGTGGGGCCACCTTGTGAAGAGGATCCTGGGACAGCGAGGCTCTCATCACGTCACTAATATGATACTGAGGCAAAGAGAGGAGCCGAAGACGCAGCCAGGTGGAGTGACGGATTCTGAGGAGACAATTAATGGAAAAAGAAAAAAGAGTGACAATGGACTAGGGTGGAGCAAAATAATGTAGCAAAGAGAAAAAAATAAGTGAAAACAATACAAATGATTGACTGCTCCCATGCAAAAGCAAAAAAAAAGTATTATTTTTAAAGAAGGCACTGCAAGAGGATCGCAAGCCTGTGATTGGTCAGCATGCCACTTCCTTTAAATTCATCAGCAGGACTGACATTCCCCCTCTTCAAAAAAAAATAACGAGAACTAAAGATATCTAGCGGCTGAAATGGAGCAAAACGGAGAATGGTTCATGGTAAAAGTCTAATGATGTGAACATTTATACATGCGTGACTGAAGAACAATATGCAGCAAACTTTTAACTTGTGGAGGGAAACCGCATTTTTAGTTTGGTAGTGGCGACTGCATGAAGAGGTGGAGGAGAAAAAGGGGAAAATTGTCCGCATTAAAAAGTTGAATTACATAAACACAATATTAATATATATATATATATATATATATATATATATATATATATATATATATATATACATACATACATACAATAGTTGCCGGCTCAAGCTGGGCAAGCAGCACACTTGGGTAAGCAGCCAGAATCCCAGATAAGCCAGTAACGGTAAATGGCCTGTATTTGTATAGCGCCTTCTTAGGGTTCTACAACCCCCCAAGGCACTTCACAACATGATCGGTCCTCCACCCATTCATACACACATTCACACGCTGGTGGTGATGAGCTGCAATGTAGCCACAGTTGCTCTAGGGTGCACTGACCTATAAAAATAACACAAGCCTGAAGTTCTGCCATGTTGTGGAGCTGCTAATGCTAATGGTTAGCTTCCACTAGCCCAGACTCGCTCTGCTCTCTCCTGGATGCAAAAATCAATATAGCCTTCTGCAGTTTGAGCCAAATGGGTGACTCTGTTAATGCTAATTTACAGTATGATGTAGATCTGTGTGTTTTCTGACCAAAGTGTTTTTCTGTCTATTTTCTATTCGTGGCTAATGGGTTAGAAGACTTTCTTCACATTCTGCATGCATGAGAAACTTAGCAAAAAATAAACATCTGTCACTAAATCTCAATAATGCTAAAATGTTTTCTCGCTAAGTCCTTTCAAAATCACAAAAGAGGTCATAAAAAAAGAATATTTTTTCACAGATTTCATCATGCCCATTTGTACCTGCAGCACTGTGTCAGTGGGGCTAAAATAGAAGGTTCGTCTTTTGAGTGACGCCCAAATCTGCAGTGACAAAAAAAACTCAGGCTGAGTCACAAAAAGAAGTCATAACAAATGTATAACAACAAAATTTTGTTAGCAAAAATAATGTCTTGAACATTAAACATCAAAATCTGCTCCGATACTCACCCCCTCCCATTGTCAAGGTGCAGCAGAAAGGTATCATTGCCAAACTTCTCAAAGGTTTCATAGTGATGTCTGTCCATGTTACCTATGAAAATATATGTTTATAACTCGACTTTTCAATACTTAAATTTCTGTATGTAAACATGAGATTACGAACATGAGGTTATGAATAATGATTTTCAGTGCTTACTGAGTTTGTATGTGAAAACATGTTATTTGGGAACATTTTAAAGGAAGCTAAATTTTAACGTATTGAAAGAAAAGAATCAAACAAAATGTATCTTCAAACAAAAACTTTATTTCACATTTTATATGAATTTGTGAGCATCAATCCTGCAATTTCTCACAGACGTCTGATGTGATGTCACATCATCCATGTCCAAACCATCAGAGTGCACAAACTAATCTCACTCTTCTCAAGCTACACAGAACAGGACTTATCTGAGTATACAGAGGAACCTTTGTGATAATGTTAATGTCACTGAGTCCTGAGTTTCCGATCTCCTCCTCTTGGTTTACATAAAGAGGACAGTAATAGGCCGGTAAGGCTGTCTGTTGAGAGACGCTTTCAACCTGGAGATTTCCTGAATCCATTAAATAGGAACAGGAAGACAACGGCTCTGCTGCGCTGTCCCGGCTCCTGACTCCAGCTTTGACACAAAGAAGAGGCATTAAAACCGGCTGAGGAAATACAGCCTCCTGCAGGACTCCTTGCTCTGTATCCCATGATGCACCTCTGAGCTCCAGTCCACACAAATACACAGCATCAGGAGGAAGCACAGCTGGGTTTGTGTCTTTACTCAGAACCTGGAAGGGAAAGCACTTTAAACGTTATCACCGGAAATCATCCAAAGATGTTTAAGAGTGTGGCGTTAGATTTAATTGTTATATGATTTTGTCTATAATACCTGAAACTGCAGTATTATATCACTTGAATATTTGTAGTATTTATGAGCACCTTCTCTTATCAGTGCCACCAGAAAGCCTCTTGGATTCTTAAAGGCGGATAGTCGATAGGCACCGGGTGGATCTGAAGAACTGTCGCTCCAACAATAAGCACTGAGCAGCTTTGCCCTCTTCTCTAACCAAGACAAGTCACAGGAATTCAGGGGCGAGCTGAAGGACGAGGCGTACTGAACAGGACGTTGAAGTTGTAAAAGGAGCGAAGACACTAAATCAATTAGATCATTCCATTCTGCCTCAAGGAAGTTGCGAAGGGGACTGCGAGAAAGCGTTCCCACATTTCTAATTGTGCTGTCTTCCCTTAAAGAGAGATACTTCTTCAGGGCCTGCAGTCTCTCTGCTGCGTGATTGTAGTCTGGTGGTTTGACAAGCTGATTCTGCTCGGTGCTGAAACTCCTCATTGCTCCTAGAGGACTTTGTGATGCCTGCAGAAGTAGGTTCAGGTGGTGGCTGTTGATCCTGGTTATCTCAGGGGCCACATCCACACTCAAACCCAGCAATACAGGGTCAGAGACTGCTGGATCTTGAAAATGTTTCTCCAAGACCTGTAATGATCTGGATAAATCTAAAAAATAAAATAAAATGTACAAAGCATCAGAGCCAAACAGATGTACAGCAAACAGAATGTGAGATAGACTTTCAATTTTCAGCAGTGCTTAAAATAACAACACATAGTTTTTGAAATTGAAGCTAAAGCTTTAACATTGATTGCAGTGATTGTTGGGTTAGAAACTTGACCTGTTTCAGATTTGGCACCACTCTGCAGCCCTCTGCTGGCCAAAAACCTGCACTGCACAGTTTTGTGGAGCGGGTGGGCATCCTAGGGGGCGCTCTTTACCTGTTTTACGGCTGTTAGCCGTAATGCTAGCGGTTAGAATTTTCAGTTTGTCGATCATCAATAAAAAGCACAAGAAGAAGAAACAGAAGTTTGCTTTTTCTGTTAGCATTATGGTGGAGCCTGGAAGTAAAAGTAAGAGAGTAATGTCTTTGGAGGCGAAGCAAAGAGCTAAAATCAAAGTGAATATTGAGGTGGCCTACACTAGTTTAGAGAGCTAAAGGAGGCAACAAAATCACAAACTGATGGTGACCTGGCTTTGCTGCCACTGGACTACTGTAATAATATTTTGTGCAACAGTGTGGATCTTTTTTACTTCGTGGTGTATTAGTTGGCTCACGTTAGCTTGTTGTTAGCGCTAGCTACAGCAGGGTTGTTATTCCACTTTCATCCAATAACACTATAAAGTAACACTTAATAAGCCTCCCACTTCTCCCCCTATTGGGTGAAAGAAGCATCAGCATCTGTCATAAACATAAACAACACTGCAGTTGCTTGCATTGGTTTTGTAGATAACAATGTCTTGAGACAAGGTGTTGTGTTTTGCACATTTTTATGAATGCATGTCTACTGGCAGTTCAGAAACAAAATAAGGACTTTGCTTGCTACTTTTTCTGATAGTTTGAAACTGAAATCAACGAGTGTAAGCCACTCTGGTAAGTTCACTCTGGTTTTAGTTCTTTGTCTAGTCCATGAATAATTTCCTTCGCCTCCAAAAACATTGCTCTCTTCCTTTTACTTCCAAGTTCAGCCATGACGGCAACAAAGAAGAAAACTTCCTCTTCTTCTTGTGCTTGTATTGGAGGTAGACAAACTGAAAAAGCTAACTGCAAGCCTTTACATGAGCTACCTGCAAAGCCACAAAGCAGGTATAGACCTACCAATAGTCCTTTCCTCAACCCCCAAAGTTGTTTAGAGCAGTTTCCAAAGTTTCTGGCTGAAGAATCAGTGAAACCAGTTTGAAAGAAACGGCTTAAAGTATTAAAAACCCTTTAGTGTTATTTTAAGCAGCTATTTTGCGTTAAACTTTACAATACATTTTCAGAAAAGGTGTCTGGTTACCTAAACGGCCACAACTGCTGATAAGATCTGATATCATGTGTGGCCCACTTCCTGAAAGAGATGACTCTGTAGTAAATAAAGTCTTGGCGATTTTCTCCACCACCTCTGAATCTGCAGAGTCCGTAACGTAGCTACCATGCAGAAGATTTACTAGGAAAAGGAACAAAAATTATTCTCAAAGTGTGCAGTGGCTAAATCACGGTTTTATTGTTTTATGCTCTTACCTGCTATAAATTGCAAAACATTAGTTTTGTCATGGCAGAGACTGGCAATACAAATGTATGCATCTATTAAACCTAGAAGATCCTCCTGACTCCTTTAAGAGAGTGGAAAATGCCAAATTAAGAAAAGAAAAGTGTTTGGGGTTGACTCATCCCTTTCCTCACCAGTGATAGATTCTTCCAAAACCTAAAGATCTATAATTCTGTCTCTGCATCAGAACAGAGTGGAAGATGGCACAGCGAACAAGCATCTCCATGTTGTCATCTGAGACACGTGGCGATGACTGAGGTTGACTGACCCAATCCACGTGCTGCAAAGAACAGCTCAGCTCTTCTCTCAGATCCCAGGGGGAGTCACATACCAGCAGCTGGGCACACATTCGCACAGCAGCTGTAAATAATGTAATAATTAGCATTAAAATCACAATTTGATAAGGTTTTCTGTAGTTTTTATTGTGAAAAAAATCACAATGATTACAACACTAAATTAAAGCAGAACTTCAGATTTATAGTCAAAGAGCACCATCCAGAGGTGGATAAATGTATTGCACCTTAAGCCCATTTCTATACTTCCGTGATTAAAGTGGGAAGCAACGCCTCTCGCACGTCAGCACTCTAGCCGTCCAACAGAGCTAACAAACATTGTTGTAGTTATTATTCCCACGTTGTGCTGTTTCTTTATGTATATTTTTCAAAGCCTTCATTTTTCATAAAAATGTTGCTAACTCTGCATCTGCCTAGGACTTCTGCAAATGTTCACACAAGGTCTGTGTTTGACATCTGTGCCTAAGCGGATGTCTAATGCTATCGGCTAATGCTGAATTATGATCAATTCAAACTCTGGATGCTGCTGTAACTGACTTGCTTTGCCAAATAGTACATTTAGCTAATTATCAGTCCATGATAAAAAAATAAGAGAGGATGATGGTGAAGCATTTTAGAACTCATGAGCTACCTGGCAAAAAGTGTGAAGCATTTTCTTGGGTTACAAACCACAACTTGAAGTCTGGATGGATCTCAGGGTTCTCCTCTGAGTACGATTAAGGAAGTAATTAAATCACAAGAAAAAGCAGCAAAATATGTCATTACTCAGATTTAAAATATCAAATTTTTCTACATTTACGTGAATTTGTTTGTTGTTGTATGACTTCCTGTACCTGTGAAGGAGATCAGCTGACTGAGGTGAGCCACCACATTATCAGTCCAATGATCCAACAAATGACAGTTGTTAAAGACCAACCAGTGGCCTTCACTGATGGCTTCATCCATCGTTGACAGAATGATCTCTGTGTCACACTGTTCTCCAAAACAAATGACTTTCACGTAAACCTAAATGGTTTAATAAAGAACAAAATACATCAAACTCAGATTTTAATCTGTCGTTCTTAAGAGTGAGATTTATGTGATCACCTCGTGTTCGTTTCCTACACAGCACGCCATTTGGTTTATTATATGGAGAGGCTGAATGCCTATCCACGTGTCTTCGTCTGGATTAGGGAATGCAAGAATGATGGGTCCCTTGTTTTTGGTTAGATATCTCGAGAGGGCTTTGAGGTTCCCACTGTGAGGTGATTCTGCGGTCTTTTCAGGCAGGCAGAGCGAGCAGACAGCAATAGCATCTGCTACTTTCTCTAAGGAGCTTGGAAGGATTGTTTTCCAGAGCAGAGCCCGCTGCAGCAAAAAGAGGTGGGAGTGAGAGCAACAGGGAACAGGTCCGGTCACCGTGGAGGAGGTGAACTGGATGTATTCCTGCCACTGGATGGGAGAGGTGTGCAGCGATGCAATCAGGCCTCGGAAAGATGGAATGTTTTCCAAGGTGAAAAGCTCAGAGTGGATGTCAGGGGGAATCCAGCTGGGAAGGTTAGAGGAAAAGGTTTGAGTTTGAACTTCAGCTACAGGCTGTTCCACGTCTCCGAGGCCCCTGAGGAAGGCTAACTTCTCCGCCTCGGAGCAAAGCTGATTGTGCTGGAGCACAGCCAGTGACACCAACAGCTTCAGAACTGCAAAGTGCTTCTTGAAGAGACAAGGTCTGTATTGCACCAACAGCTGGAGCACCATTGAGTTCATCAGCTCTGGTAACATGCTTTCTGCTGCTTTCCCAGGTTTATACTGTACTAATGGTCGGTACTTTACACTGAAGGCATCTTGCATCACATTTATGAACTCATGTAGGGAAAAGATATATCCAGGAGAAAGACGAGCCACTGCCTGCAGCGCCTGGTAGAGGGCAGCAGCCAGCTTCATTAACTGCCTCGGAGCAGCCAGCAGGGACTCGTGGTGCTTCAGCTCCTCGCTCAGGAGCTTTATCTCAGCCTGCACCTCCTTCATCTCTTCTTGACAAACAGCCACACAGGAAAGAAAATTTGAATCTTTCTGCAGCGAGGTGTCAGACTGCAGGGTGCAGTCTATCAGAGCATCCTAAGATGAACAGATAATTAATGTCCAGCAGCTATAAACACAAAATAATGTTATAGTTTACAGCCAAATTTTGTCCTGATCTACTTTAATGTCAGGGGTCAGCTTAAATTTTCATAATCAGCTGAATTTATAATCAGATTTCTGTAAAATTTAACATGAGACGTATTTAAAGGTGAAGTTCACACAAAGACTGAAATCGAGAAAATCAATAATTAAAGTTTAGTCAGTAATATCTGAACTCTTACAATAATTAAACAAAACTAACCAAACCCTCTGAAACTGAGTGCTGCTAAAGGCCAGCTTTGTCACCTCTTTTGAGACCAGTTTCTTTTGCAGAAACTGATTGTAATTCTGGTATCGCCTGTGTTGAATCAGCAGCTCTCTATGCTCTGACTGCAGCAGCTGTGTCAGCATCAGCTCCTGGATCTCTTCTGAGCTCAGAGAGAGGTCAACCACAAACAGCTGAGCCAAGATGGACGGGTGGATCCCTGGGGAACAGGAAGAATTAACAAAACCTTTAAATACTCAGTTAGAGGTCAACTCAACAGGAGAATTCAGTTGGATTATTTTTTTATTCTATGTTAAGGTCTATAGATGACAATAAAAAAAAAATGCAGAATTGACTGTACCGGAATCAGGCGGGTATAATAATGACTCTCACCACTGCTGAGCAGTCTAACAGGCAGATTAGTGCTGAGGAAGAGGCAGAACTCTGGATTCACCGTCTGAGGAGAATCTGAGGAGATCTGCTGTAATCCAGGAAGCCTACAATCAACAGGGCGTGTTAATCTGGCCATGAACTCAGGACTAGGTGTTGCACGTTCCAAGTGAGTAATTAGTACTCTCCATCCTGAAAAACAAAACAAGATTTAATTAGGTATAAGGGTGAAAAATTGCCTTTAGTATTTAAATAATATTTTTCTGAATCACCTTCCTCAGACGCGTGATCCAGCTTGTCCAGCAGCTTTGAATCATCTGCACAAACCACCAGCCTGCACCTTAACTCCTCCTCGAGCGTTACCTTCACTCCTGTACAGCAGGAATGCAGCAGTTAGTGTTGTAGATAAATAAAGATTATGCAAAAGCACAGTATGCATTTTTCCCCCGTTGTACTACTGAGGATATATACAACCAGACAAATTACAATAAAGTGCGCACATCATCGTCGTCGTCGTCTTCCTCCGCTTATCCGGGTCCGGGTCGCAGGGACAGCATCCCAACTAGGGAGCTCCAGACCGTTCTCTTCCCGGCCATCTCCACCAGCTCCTCCGGCAGGACCCCAAGGCGTTCCCGGATCAGATAGGAGATGTAACCTCTCCAACGTGTCCTGGGTCGACCCGGGGGCCTCCTGCCGGCAGGACATGCCCGAAACACCTCCCCAGGGAGGCGTCCAAGAGGCATCCTGACCGGATGCCAAAACCACCTCAACTGGCTCCTTTCGATCCGGAGGAGCAGCGGTTCTACTCCGAGCCCCTCCCGAATGTCCGAGCTCCTCACCCTATCTCTAAGGCTGAACCCGGCCACCCTACGGAGGAAACTCATTTCGGCCGCTTGTATCCGTGATCTCGTTCTTTCGGTCATTACCCAAAGCTCATGACCATAGGTGAGGATTGGGATGTAGATCGACCGGAAAATCGAGAGCCTGGCTTTCTGGCTCAGCTCCCTCTTCACCACGACAGATCGGCTCAGCGTCCACATCACTGCAGACGCTGAACCAATCCGCCTGTCGATCTCCCGATCCCTCCCACCCTCACTCGTGAACAAGACCCCGAGATACTTAAACTCCTCCACTTGAGGTAGGTCCTCTCTCCCGACCCGGAGTTGGCGAGCCACCCTTTTCCGGTCGAGAACCATGGTCTCAGATTTGGAGGTGCTGATGCTCATCCCAGCCACTTCACACTCGGCCGCAAACCTACCCAGCAAGAACTTAAAGTCAGAGCTGGATGAAGCTAGGAGGACCAGATCATCCGCAAAAAGCAGAGACGAGATTCTCCTGCCACCAAACTCGACACACTCCACACCACGGCTGCGTCTAGAAATTCTGTCCATAAAAGTGATGAACAGAACGGGTGACAAAGGGCAGCCCTGGCAGAGTCCAACCCTCACCGGGAACAGGTCCGACTTACTACCGGCTATGCGGACCAAACTCTCGCTCCTCTGGTAAAGGGATTGAATGGCCCTTAACAGAAAGCCACTCAACCCATACTCCTGGAGCGTCCCCCACAGGGTGCCCCTGGGGACATGGTCATAAGCCTTCTCCAAATCCACAAAACACATGTGGATTGGTTGGGCAAACTCCCATGCCCCCTCCATCACCCTTGCAAGGGTATAGAGCTGGTCCACAGTTCCATGGCCAGGACGAAAACCACATTGCTCCTCCTCAATCTGAGATTCAACAATCGATCAGACCCTCCTCTCCAGTACCTTGGAGTAGACCTTTCCAGGGAGGCTGAGGAGTGTGATCCCCCTATAGTTGGAACACACCCTCAGGTCACCCTTCTTAAAGATGGGGACCACCACCCCGGTCTGCCACTCCACAGGAACTGCCCCCGATGACCACGCAATGTTGCAGAGACGTGTCAACCACGACAGCCCTACAACATCCATAGCCTTGAGATACCCAGGACGAATCTCATCCGCCCCCGGTGCTCTGCCACTGTGTAGTTGTTTGACTACCTCAGCAACTTCTGTCCCCGAGATTGGACAGTCCACCCCCAGGACTCCTGGCTCTGGTTCCTCCTCGGAATGCGCGTAGGTGGGATTGAGGAATTGCGTACATATGTTCTTTAAATAAATGTGCTGGGGTCTCAAGCATAAATTGTGAGTAATTTTCTGTGGATAAAAAGCACTGGCACTCTTGTTTCGGCAAGTAGAAGTTATTCAGAGGAGTGGCGGTCAGAAAACAACAGAATTTGGAATCTTACTCTTTGAAAATAATATGCTAATTTCTCACCTCTGATTGGCTAACAGCAATATGACTCTTCCAGCATTTGCTTTGCTTTCTTGGGTAAAAAATGCAATGTTGATGTCTTATCTCCACAAATAACACAAGCCTGAATTTGTTCTGCTATGTTGTTGAATTGCTAATGCTAACAGTTACAGTTAACGTCTTTTGAGCCAAGACCTGCTCTGCTCTCTTCTGGCTACTAAATCAACACAGCCTTCTGTGGTTGCAACCATGATGGGTGACTCCATCCATCCATCCATCCATCAATCCATTTTCTTTACCCGCTTATCCTCGCAGGGTTGCGGGGGGGCTGGTGCCTCCTCTCCAGCTGTCTCCAGGCATTCAGGCGGGGTACACCCTGGACAGATTGCCAGTCCATCGCAGGGCAACACAGAGACACACAAGACAAACAACCAAGCACACACACACACACACACCTAAGGGCAATTTAGAGGGACCAATGAACCTAACAGTCGTGTTTTTGAACTGCGGGAGAAAGCCGGAGCACCCGGAGAGAACCCACGCATGCACAAGGAGAACATGCAAACTCCATGCAGAAAGACCCCAGGTCGGGATTTGAACCCAAGACCTTATTGCTGCAAGGCAACAGCGCTAACCACTGTGCAGCCCCATGATGGGTGACTCCACAAATGAAAATATTTTCCTGTGACATAGATCTCTGTGGCATTTTCTGACTCAAGTACTTCCTCACAATTTCTTACGACGGCTAATGCAGGAAACAAATGTAAGTTTGACAATTTTCTTGTTGAAAACAGACAATTATACTTCAAAGCCATTATATTTTTCCCAGCGAAGCTAAGATTTACATCTGTTTGTTTTACTTCATTGTTTGACAGTAATGTTGTGTTTGATGTATTAGGACATACCTGTGATGGACCAGTTGAGAGAGCTTATCTGTAAATGCTGCTCCGTATCTGCCAGCAGAGGCCAACGCTGCATACAAGCATTTGTGAGGCCCCACAGCATCAGCTTAACCATGAGCCTGGCAGGTAGAACGTCCTCAAGCTGCCAGTCGGTTATCCCTAATGTCTGATCAACAGGCAGCTGCAGCCTCTCAGTCACAGCTATGGGAAAGCCCAGAGAAGGGACAGCTGATTCAGAGTCTACAGGTGTAAACAGGGAGGTTCTGAGATCCTTTGGGTTCATGTCGATGCTTCCCGTCCAGCACAGTTCTTTCCACTTGCTCACTAGTTCTGTGCGTAAATGAGGTTCAAATGGGCCAAAGTAGGAGACAACTGCTGCAAGAAGAAGGGCGTCACCGGGTGTGTTTTGACAACGTGTCTCTGCCACCTTAGGGGAAAAAATCAGAAGCTTTTAACACAAAAACAACTAAATCTGTGGGCCAGTTTAAATTAACAGTACTTTGTTTGCATCACCTGAAAAGCACCCCTCCAATTTTTGACATGCATCTCTAGCTTTGCAGCGCATAAAGTAGCTTCTTCTTCTTCTGCTTCGGTTTCATACAGCTGAAGCATGAGGTCCTCCAGCTCAGATTCCATGGACTGAAGCTGGAACTCAGCATGTTCTAAAAGCTGGCGGACCTCCTTTTTGTGCTTCTCGGCCGAAAGCAGTTGATTTTGAGCTTCTCTAGCCTGCACCTCCAGCTGCTGCTTGACCACCAGGTGGTGCTGCATGGAGCAGAACTCACACACAGCCTGGACCCATCTGCACAGGGACTCGCAGGCTTTACTGACCTCCTGCACCGATTCTGGCACAAACAGAGGGCTGTGAGCTATCTGTCCAAGCTGCTGCAGTTGTGCCTTTGTCAGGCTTTGGTAGTCATAAAACTCCATCTCCTGGACAAAGAAATGCATAGAGGAGAGGATTGATTCAAAAGAAACCTGTTGTCCACTAATTTATCCTCACACTACAATATTTGCGATATTAAAGGTTTAATGCTAGAAGACCTGAAAAAAGTCAGGTTGCATGATAAGCTGCTTGGCACTTTCCCAGCCTGGTGGACGATTAAACAACAAACAGACAGCATCCATGATCTTCACCACTCCATCAGGTGGATCTCTATAGTGGCGCACCTCCTCAAAGTCAGAAGGTTTCAAACACTGAAGGATCTTCAGACCTGACAGGAGGACTGGTTTAATCTGGGGAAGTTAAAAAGGACATGTCAACATAAACATCTGCAAAGCTCTTTACATAGAATCACAGATGTTTCATCAGTAGGTGATAAACAGATTTGATTATCAAAGGCATCGCGTGCCGACAAGCAGGGATGGAAGTTGTTTTGAGCCGAACAACCTTTAACTAAGATGGGATTGCAACAGGGGTGAGGCAGTAAAAAGCTCACTTCCTGCTGGGCCCTCTCCCTCCTTCCCGACCGCTTATCCAGAGACGGCCACACACTTCCACATTGCACAGACCCCCCACCCCAATAAACAATGTTGTTTGTGTCCGCACCACAATAATCTAAATGGCTGCACACTTCCTTGTCAGCAATGGACAACAGGTCGTTTTGCTTGGGGTCCCATGAAAACCTTGCGGCTTCACTGTTGATTACATCGATCTGGCGTTCTCCATCTTTACTAAATGGTGTATTACCTCTGGGATTTTTTAAGGTGGCATTAAAACAAAACATTACCAGTTTCTGAACTTGGTGGATTTTTTCTTCCAGCTGATTTAGTTTGTTCTTCTTTGCTTCACATGTTTTTGATGCTAGTTGAAGCAGATTCTTCTTATCGTCTACAGCTTTAAGGTGCATTTTATGGAGCTGCAGAACAGAGACAAAAGGAGTGAAAACAGCTTACCTGAACATTTAAATTCAAATCTTCTGTATGTATTTGCATAAAAACCTGCTGTTTATTTTCAGTCTCCTTCTGCAACCTCAGTATTTGCTCTTTCCATTTCCCAACTTCATTGTTGAGGACATCCATGCGAGCCAACGCAGAAGAAACTCTGAAAAAAGAGAAAACTCATCAAGGTTTTTTTTTCTTTATTGGATATGATTTTTTTATTTTAATGGGACCATTCACATTAAGGAATGTGCTGTAAAGGCATTGGATTTATCAAGATGCTAGTTTCCATCTGTAGTCCTATAAAACAAACACACAAATATAAATAATGTAATTGACTGACTCTCCTGCTCTCAGACATGAAGGTGTTGGCGTGATTTTATCTTTCAAAGCTTAGCACATTGTAAATATCATAACATTGATCAAAAGAAAACAAAAGTTGAAAGTTGAACCTGTCAGAGGGGTTTTTACTTCTGACTTATAGAATTGACTAACGTGACAAAAATTTGGCTTTTCAGTTGACATGGATTAGCTCTGACATGAACAGAATTTCAGGTTTATTTTAGAATAAAATATAAATAAATAGTATTGAGGGGAAAGAACATTTACATCTGTACTATTTACTGCATCTGCATGTGTTGCAGCAGTCATGTCAATACTGTTTAAAACTAGCTAGGAGAAATGTGTGGTTGCTGCTTTAATCCACATAATCACAAAAATAAAGGTATGACAGCCCAGTAAATGCCAAATAACACACACAGTAAAATACCCAGTTTAATTTTAACTCTAGGAGAGTTGTATTTAACTCTGTTTTTGGTAGCATTTGCTCCCACTCAAATTGAGTAAAATGTACTATTTAGCCAGTGTTAATTTCAATCAAACTAGTGTGAAAATTAACACTTAAATTTATTAAAGACATACTAAGCAACTTTTTCATATTTTAAATTATTTTCTTGAGCCAGTATGTGCTTAAATGACCCTTTACAGGGTTAAAGAAATGTCTCTCAGCCCCCTCCGCCCCTTGTGTGCAGGATATCCCGTTTGCAACTTCAGCCTCAGAAAAGACAAAGAAAACATTTATCTGACGAAGCTATAAAAAAAGAATGTTCAATCACAAAAGGAGTCAAACAAGAGCCAACATTGGTAGTTTTCTGACTTGTGAGAGCTCCAAGTCGTTTCCTGCATGATTTAGATCGTGAACACAACTGAATTGTTTGATTTAGTGATGAGCTGCTTCTGTAGAATCTAATGAAGGCTGAGGAGACCTCTTAACAGTTAGATTAACGTGTTAAAAATAGAAAAGCACCAAAAGGAGGACAACTTCTATTTGTCTTCTTGACAATGAACTAAAACAGACACTGGGGGGGAGCTAAAAGCAAACCTAAACTGCAAGATCTCCCTTTAAAATAGGTGGATAAGTGAAAAGACCTCCTATGTTGAGTGTAAATTAACACTGCATGTCTGCAGAATTTAAGGCGGACTTGACTGAGCTGGTTTACTCTTCAAATTGTTGTAAATATCTGAGTTAAAACTGCAATATTAACACTCCGTGTTTTACAGTGCATACATGATATTAAAGCATCAATCATGATAAACAGTTACCTGTTGTTTTTGTTAACCCATTGCTTCGGAAGTTGGTTGCAAAAGTAGCTAAAGAAGGCAATAAACTCTGTGTAGGTACGAGGGCTGAAAGGCTGCGTTTCTAAAAATATAGAAGCATACTGATGTGCAGACTGATGGATTGCTGCCATGGCCACTGACAAGCTGTCCTCAGAGCATCCTCTGAACACTTTGTAAAAATAAAATATAAAAGATCATTATTTTGTGACATTTTTAGAAATGTGCTTCAAATTAATGTTGAAAAGAAAACGTGAATAAGTAACTTCAGTCTTGTGACTCACTTTCACTGGAACAGAGTTTGAGATTTTGAACAGCTATTTCCACCCAAGACTGGTTGGACCATGGCTGGTACACCTCCACACAGCAGCTGAGTTTAACGGCCTTGGCCATTTGTGTCTGGATTATTAAAAAACAACAAGAAAACAAACAAAAACAGAACAAATCAAGCCTTGGCTCCCTTTATGTTGTCTTCTTAAAGAAATGTTTGCATGTACAGTAAACTGATCTCACAGTTGACAAGTCGATTTACAATTAGCCTGTGATACTGTAAAAAAGTTATCAGCTGGTTGCTTCTTTGAAAAAATAAAAATATATTTCTGTTACGATAAATGAGCAGCACTCGTATAGCACTTTTCAGTGTCAGAGGACTTCAAAGTGCTTGGCACTATAGTGTATCACTCAGCCATACACTGGTGCCACTGGTTCTTCTGATCACCACCAGCAGGCAAGGCTGGTTAAGTGTCTTGCCCAAGGACACAACAGCAGAATTCTCTGTCCGGAGCTGGGTTAGAGCCTGCAGCCTTCCGATTACTGGACAACCCGCTCTACCTCCTGAGATATTGCAGTAATGTGTTAGAAGGGGCCATCTAATGGAATATCCACCTTTTGAAGCTTTTTACCATGTGTGATATTGTTATTTCCTCATGAAAAGAACACAAACCCGTTTTTGGCTGCATTTGTGCATTCTCCTGTCTTAGTGTGTTCATCCACATTTACCCTGGGGCAAAGGACAGAGGAAGAGTGCTACAGGAAAAGCACAACATAAGTGATGTGAGCCCACCTTTAAATCACTTACATTGAAGCTTTGGGTGTTTTCGTCACTGGACATGTTGAAAGGCATCAACAAGAACACGTGGACATTTTTGTGGATTTGACTCAAAACCCTTTGGGGGTAAAAAACAAAAAACGACTTACATAGAGTTTATGGTTACACACACCCTACTACAATATCATATTTGTAAACATAAGACCTTATTGTGAACTGTTTTATACTACTATCAACATCCTATTTACAGGTACTGGACAGTTTAAAATGTGACACTCAATATATCTGCCAACAATGCCAGCTGGACTCTGAATTCAGCAGATGAATCTCTTAGACTAAGTGATAACAGTCAGATTTTCCACTTACTTCTCAGATATCCATCTGCCCATATGGTATCTTTCTACACATTCCATTGCTGTCACTCTGGAAACAAGGCTGCTCAGCTCATCCTCTGTGCAATGCCCTGGGAAGACTTTCTGAGCCATTGCTATCAGTATTTCTTCTCTGACAGGTGAACTGATATCTTCATGGACCAGTATGATGACATTGACTCCATTCTTATCAGTTTGATTGCCGGCCTCTTTCAAGGTTTCATGCACCTTGTTTTCATTGTTAGAACGTACTTCCATTAGCTGACAGCCTGTGAGGTAGGCAGCTAAACGCACTGTGGTTTTACGGCCTGTTCCTCTGCCTGAGCCGATCAGTACACCGTGCCCCCCAGGTATGAGCAAAGTCCTGAAGATGTGTAACAGCTGACTCACACCCTGCCTGTGCACACTGTATCTGGTCACTGTGTTGTGAATATTATCAACATGATTTGCTTCCTCTTTGCTGTCTATTAGTCTAAGTAGCTCCGGCCATATTACATCAAGGTCTTGCTTTACATACAAACGTTTATCTTTAAAATTGTGTTCCGGATTCAGAAACATTAGGGTCTCTGAGAAGTCCGGTCCATACACAAGGCTCGTCTCTATGGCCTTGTAATGCTTTAAATGCAGAGGTGTAACAGGTTGTGGTTTAAAGTTGGTCTCTCTTGAAGAAATGTTTGTAGATTTGGTCGGTGTGTGGTCACTTTTAAATTTTTGGCTAGCTTCCTTTGCCTCTGATGTGTCAGGCTGGCTGTTATCAAGCAAGTTAAATCCAAAGTGAGCGTCTGCTGTCTCAACTAAAACTGACAGGAACGTTTTCCTTTCATCCTCGGAACAAAGCCTATCGCTGAACGTACGCATGCACTCATGTATCCAGAGGTGTACTATTTTAAGATCTGAAGCAGGAAGACCTGGCAGGACTGGAAGGGAGGGTGATGGTATACTTTTGTTTTTCTCGGTGAACGCAGTGTTTGACATGTCATCTTGCCACAGGTACATTCCAGAGAACACTTTTTGGATGTCATGATGAGAAAATGTGAGTTGAGGTCTCTCTGAAGTGGGATGGAACTGGGCGCATACAGACTCATACACGTTTTTAGTAGCAGTGATTATACGGTTAGACATTTTTTCACCACTGTGGCTTGGGGACATTTCTTTGAGCCAAATCTTCATCCATGGAGAATGAATGGACAGAAGAACATCTTTTGATAGACTAGGGAGGACAAAGATGGAAAATAAACGTGAGAGCCGTGAGGATACAGCATTTCTGAAAGGATCACTCAGGGTGAAGACACAGCTTGTAGCCATGTAGCTGACAGTTTTAGAACTGAGGGCTTTAAAAAAGTAGGTGTCGAACATCCCAATCTGTTCCTGTGATATGCTCTGACGTAGAGTCTCCAATGCAGCTGACACTTTCCCAAAGACATCTTTGAAACGAAAAAAACAAAACACTCATACTAAATTTTAAAGACTTTTCACTTTCAAACGGATTTCAATGTATAAAAATATCATTTGCTATTTTTTTATGAACTTACCACGAGGGGCTTCATGCAAATCATCCACGAATAGAAGCAGGCCTGGCTCTTTTTTTACAGAACCCACATTGTTGTTCCAGTTCTTATGGCAGCAGTTCTTCAATATAATTCTAAACTCTCTGGAGCTCAGGAGTGGACTTGCTGGAAGGTTAATGTGTGGCCTTTCAAAACTTAAAGTGTTGCACAAAGTTGTTTTTCCAGAACTTGGCTCTCCAGCGAGCAGCACTGGCTGCTTTGCCTCCAACATGATGTTCAGAAGGTGCTTATACAACCCGAACTGTGTAAAGATATTTGAGACTCTTTTATCTTGAGAGTTTGAGAATCAATTAAATTGATGGCAAACATACTTTAAGCATTTTAGAAAAAACTGGGTAGAATACCTTTGGAATGATGGAATTTGTCAACTGTGAATCATTGGCATGGATCTGACTCTTGAATCCTAGAAATTGCTCAAACACACTTTCTTTATCTGGAACCAGAATTTTATACCTAGAAGAAAACAGCAGCTGGCGGACTAACAAGTCAAACTGTGGCCAGTGGCTGAAAGAAAAATAAAATTAAACGAAGAATAATACTATTATTAGTATAATGTAGTACAACAGTAAACACACACATTACATAAAACATCTAAATGTTCCATAAAGGACTTTTACCGAGAATGCAGGTGTCCACCAAATCCCCAAATGTAAGCCACCAAAAAAAGGTTTCTGGTGAGCAGGTCTTGTTTATTTTGGGAATCTAGTCCAGGACAGTTACTTCCATCTGAATGCACATAAAACATGACAAAAGGTGTTACAAATGTAATTACAATATGAGGAAAATAGATACATAACAGCTCATTAGTGATGGTTTTCATACCTCTTTTACCTTTTTGTGATGCTGTTTTGGAGTTTTCTATTTGCTTTTCAAAATGCTGCACAAGGGCTTCCAGAATCCTGACAAATGACATGATTGCTTGTAGGCCATTGTTGTTGCAAGATCCGTAAGCAGAGGTTAAATTGTATCGCCCAAGCAAAATAAAAGTGCTTGAAAAAAGGTCATCTGCCAAATTCTTCCACAAATCCAAGACTTCTTGGTCCAGTTTGTGTTCAAACAAGAGAACGTCCATTTCACTTTTCCATACAGCCTTCCACAGATCAACACCTGTGAAGTAAACAAGGCTGCAGCGAGTCACCGCAAAAGGACTTGCATCTTGCAGGTGAGTGACTTCCATTAGTAGCTTGAGATGTGATTGAGATGGTAATGTTTCACCAGACGACAAATGCAGACATGGGTGCTGAGAACTGCACAGCGTGGTTAAGTTATCTAACCAGCATGGTTGCCCTACAGGCTCCCCATCCATTATCAACCATTTCATTACCAATGCCTCTTTAATTTCATTCCTATTGTTGAAGACTTCATAACGTCCTAAATCGCTTAGTAGGGTTGAAATGGCTCCATCTTTCCATCCTTTCTTTTCACAGAAGCAGCCGAACAGCTCGTCGTGGGACATGGAATTGGGAAATAAGACCAAAGTGTCAACAAAGCACCAGGTGGATGTGTTTTTTTTAATCGTGTTTTCATTGTCAAACACATTGTCATCTTTTATATAGGCCAGCCTATTGAGAGCTCCAGCCAGAACTGTGTGACAGGCTGATTTTCCACTACCTGGGGGGCCTATGAGAATGACTGCTGGGGAGAGCTTCAGAGCCTGGTAGAGCCTAAGAGCTTTGCTGACTATTTCCATGTCAGAGTAGAGGTGTTCTTGTTTTAGCTCTTCTGTGACTGCATGCTGAAGTTGAGTCATTTCTCTTTCTTCAATATGGTGTTGAAAATGAGGAAACTGACACACAATGGGAAATGTGTCCTTGAAAATCATATGAAACTGTGAGGTTATCTCAGGCTCCGGTACCAAAACAGTAAGAACTGCTTTGACAATGGCTGCTTCCTCCTTTAGAGACTGTATAATTGACAGTCGAGAACTACATAACTTCGGAAGATTTGTAGTTTCTTCTCTATTCTTCTCAAAATGTTTTGCAGACATATTTTGTGAAGAGGAAAGATCGGTGTGTTCTGCAGTTGAAACTTTTGTCTCATTTGAACTTTCATCTTGACTCATAGCTTGTTGTAAGAACATTTCTGAAGTAGATATGATCTTTTGCAAGACATCAAAAAAACAGCTATCGCCTGTGAAAGAATCAGGCAGACAGTTGGAATCTTTGGCTAAGCGGATCAGGGACACCAAACGATGACTTAAAGATGAGGCTTCTGAGAAACCAATGGAAGTCAGTGTTACTTCAGTGGTTATCCTGTAATCTGGATGCGTTAATCCAATAGGTCTGGTAGAAAATCGCAGACTTTCTGGAATTTTGGATTCATACTCCTTTGATGGGATGAGAACACATCCATAGCTTGGGTTTGGTAAGATGTTTTTCCCTAGAAGAACAATATTGCATTGTGGACTGGAAAAGTCTGTGACCCTTTCAGCGGATTTGTGGTCTGGCACCTCATTTGGTCTGTGAGTCTCCTTTCTTTGTATCTTGAAGAATGACTGATGTATGTCTTCTAGAAACTGCCCCAATAAAGACAGAACTCCTGGAGTTAGTAACTCAACAGATTCCAGTAGGAGCCATGCTCCTGTCTGAAGGGCACCCAACAACATCTGCTGAACAACACCAGATGCCATGCTCGAAAAACACTGTTTAACAACATACTGTCGTCCCAGAGCTTTCCCCAGCTGGGCTACAGTGTTTGTTTTTGCAGTCATGGAAGGTCCACTCACCAACCCACATCTGTATCTTGTCAGGGCTAGGACAATCCCCAGTACTGCCTTCTCTGTGGAAGGAGCATGCACCATCAGTAAGTCTTCTGGTCCATAATACTCAAAACCATATTGAAATTGGTGGCCTAAAACATCCACATAGCACGGCAGATTATCGGTTTCTGGACTCTGATTTTCTGAGTTGATATGATATTTCATCAAGCATAGCCACTCAAAGGATGACTCCAGGTCACATTGCACCTCCATGAGTTGTGACAGCTGCTGTGCATGATTCATAGTGAGTTGCACTAAAGCACGCAAACACATATTTGTGTACTTGGAAACCAGAGATTTGCTCTTTGAGCCAAAGGCTGTTTTTCTTAAGAAATTGCCTAGGTTTTTCAGTTTCAAAGAGTTGTATGTTTTAATCTTACTCAGTTGTAAAGGGCTTTTTTCCTGTAATGCACCCAGAACAACCTTGCACCAAACTGCCTCTTCAACCACCAGCAGAGACTGAAGAGGAAAATCGGAAAGCAGATCTAGCACAAGTTGTGGACCAATCATTTCAGCACAGCACAGCTGTGTGTTTCTGTCTATCGTGTCACATGCTGAATCTTGAGAGGATGGTTCCAGTTGGTTTCGCAGCACTGCACATTGTTTCATGAGCCTTATCATGGTGAGCTTCAACTGCTTCTCAAAGACACATAGCCATACCAGGGCATTGGGATTTGGTTCCAAAGGAGGCTCAAAAGCAATGTGTTCCCGGAGGTTGCCAAAAATACCTCGAACTTTCATTTGCTTGTAGTTTTCAGATGACGCACCATAACTCTCCACATTGTTTTCATCACAACGTGTTTCAAATTCCACTTCAAGCCAACTAATCCCTTTGTAGCATTTGCTTAAAACTGTCTGAAGTGCAAAGGACAGTGGTTTATAAGAGAGTAGTTGTGTCAGCTCTCTATCACTCAAGAACCACAGTCTTGGAAACTGGTCACGGAAGTTATGGAGGAGATCCATCATCTGATTGGAAATGGAGTCCATCATCGACAAACCATCTGTGAGAGTCTGATAAAGGTTGTTACCATGAAATCTTTCTGCTTCACTAGACACAAAGTTCAGCACATGAAGATCTGCTGAAATTGTGCTCATTAATTCCTTAAATGCTTCATCAACTTGCTGAAAATGCTTCAGCTACAAGAGAGAGAAAGAGAGAGAGAGAGGGGGGGGGTTGAATAAGACAAGTAAAAATCAAATAATATTGTAAATAGTGTATTCTACATTGCTAAAAATAGATCAAGACATAACATTGCAATGCACTGATGTAGCCCTAGACATGGTTCTGAGTCGCTCTGCTCAACTCAAAGTTGTAGTTTTGTCTCCTAAAGATGTTCAAACACGATGGAAGTAAGCACCGCTGCTGGGGGTGATGACTCTAGATACCCAGATCGCATGTCAGAGGGGACATTTTTTAACCACTGTCCAATTAAAACAGCTGGAAAAGGAAATGGGCCATGCTAAAGACAGAGAAAGCAAAGTGATGGCAGTGTTTATGTAAATAAGCATATTTTCAGTTATCTAGGGAGCAGTGGTGTATCTGAATCCCTCAGCCAAACAGCATCCAAACATGGACGAAAAAGAGGTGGTTGGTATGCAAAAAGTAGTGACACAAATAAAAATGTGAGAGTGAAAAAAGTAATTTAGAGAAAATGTTACTTGAGCACTGTGAGTAATGATTAACATTTGAACATGGTGTCTGTCAGGTTGTTTTTATTGATAGCGCTAGCACCCATAAGCATAGCGTACCACTGTTAATTGAATTAGAGTTTCACAAAACAAGTCTGATCACGTAATAAACAATACAGTCACTTTCCGCTTCCATTTCTCAAGTCCCACGTGATGTTGTGACTATCACATGACTTTCCTAGAAGCGCTCAGCGGCGTGGCGCGGCATGTCCTATGACCACTTGACTTCTCAAAATCGCAGGCACGATGCAGCACTTCCACCTCCAGTGTGTCCCAGGTTTTATTTACTTTGTTGACTGGGTGTAAAAATGCTCAAATTCTGTGTGATCGGGGCAAAAACAAACGCTTTTTTTTATCGTATCTCGAAAGTAGTGCGCTACAAAGGACTTACTGAACGAAGACGAAATTGTGGATCATAATCTCCGGCTGCAAGATGAGCAGAAACAGAACAGAAAATGCTACAGTTTGCAGTGATCACTTCATCACAGGTAAGGGTTTATTAAAGGTTTTTTATGGCGTTTTACTGAACAGCTTAGAAACGCAGCTACAAAAACAGCAGTTAAATTGTTTCATACTGTTTTCACGTGTTCTCCACAAATAGCCTGTAGAGTGCTAATGTTTTTAGCAGTTAGCTCAGTGTTGTAACGTGGAACTGTAGAGGATGACGATTAAACAGTTGGAGGATTTTTTTTTTACTTCAAACCAAACGGGACACGAACAGTTAAACTTTGAAGCGGTAAAGTGTCTGTTGCCTTTTGTTGTGAATCAATAACCTAATTATCACCAAGTGTTTAGAATGCGCTACGTTTGTTACCATACTTGGACTTAGTTTGAAACAATGTTTGTTGTAAATGTTCTATATGCATACATACATACAATGTTAACTGTACACTTTCAATAAAATAACCTAGTGTTGTATACGTTCAAATAGACACAAAATATTGTCTTTATTCCTTCTACTGGTTGTTTACTTTGCTCAAATTGAAATTGAGGCCTGCCTCTAATTCTGGCCTTCTTCCAATAAAGGCCCAAGCCAGGAAGCACTTGGGTAAATAAAGGCACGGGCCTGTATTAGAGGATTTGCGGTATGCTATTTAACTAAAACCTTGAGATGATGTTGAGACATACCAGATTCACTTCTTGATCATAGAAGGATGTTTCTCCAAATGTCTTTGACAGGAATGCCCACAGTTGCTGATATGATTCAAATAACTTTAGCAGCTTTGCTTTTAACGATTTGGAAGGGAAATCAAAAATACATTTTTAGTTTTAAAGTGTTTCTCAAGTGTATTAAGCCTTCATCAAATACTTGTCTAATTATAGCTTTACCGAGTTCTTGTAGTGACTGATCACACTCCTCCAACTGCAGTCTGAACTCTACGCTTTGAGGGGACTTCAACATGATGGACAGAGTTATCAGATCATTGTCTACCTCAGCAGAAAGTGTTTCAAGACCTAAGTGAGAAGACATTCAGCAAATTGAAGCAACTTGTAAGCAGAATACCGCAGCTGTTCAATACATCAACAATACTTACAGTGACATCTAAGATCAGATCTGTGTTATTAATGTACTCAATTCAATGTATTCTTACCGGTAATAGTGAATCGAGCATCATCACAAGAGCAGTGACTGGCACATGGAAAGGTGTTTTTGTTAGGCTTCTCTTCTGTTAAACCTTTCTGTTTCTCACAGTGCTGACAAGCAGGATGAATGACTTCATCGAGCTGAAAGAGTTTGTCTTTCCATCGAAGAGAAATTCTTTGAAACCTCTGCTCCATATTCCATTCGGATTGTGCATCCCTGCAAATCTGACAACGTATAAGGTTTGTTAGTATTTGATGTTACTGCTTATATTTACAAAGAATGAATTTTTGTTTTGTTTGTATAAAATCACAGCATGTTCTGGATATAATCTCTGCGCTTCTTATCTACCTTGTCAATTAGTCTTCGGTGCGTTTCAGGGTGCTGAGACAAGACTTCAGCTACAGAAAATGTATTCTCTGGCACAAACAAAAGACCCAAACCTGTAGAGCAGAGCAGATGTGAATTAAATGAGATAGAACCAGATATATTTTACAAAGCTCGCTGATAAAGTGCTTGGCTATGTAATTTTATGTTTCTCTATAAGTAAATATGCAATTATGTGATTTTAAAAAGAAGTATACATAAATATAATCAGACCTTGAAAAATCATTTTCATGTGTTTTTCTCTGAGTGTGGTATTGGTCAGCTTTTCCATGACTTCAGCCTGATGACTTAGGCTCTCCAGGATCTTTAAAACCTCCTCCAACACTGGATCATTCATGGGTATGCCTATCAAAGACTGAGTTTGCACTTTCCACAGGACGATTTTCTCCTGAGCTTGTGAGATTACAAGCTAAAGACAAAAAGAGCAGCAGATAAACGGATGAATGAGGTTGATATATCGTCTCACATTTGACGTGGAGCTCTGAGGGTGGACACTGCTGGTATTACATGTGTTTTCCATCCATCCATTTTCTGTACCTGCTTTTCTACACATGGTCACACGGGGGCCAGTGCCTATCTCCAACACCATGGACAGGTTACCCAGTCCATCGCAGGGCAACACAGAGACACACAGGACAAACAACCAGGAATACACACACACACACACACCTGAGGACAATTTAGAAATGCCAATAAACCTAACAGTCATGTTTTTTTGGACTGCGAGAGGAAGCCAAAGTACCCTGAGAGAACCCACGCATGCAGAGAGAACATGCAAACTCCTTCCAGAAAGACCCCATACCTGGATTTGAGCCCAGGACCTTCTTGCTGCAAGGCAACAGCGCTAACCACTGCACCACTGTGTAGCCCATGATGTGTTTTCATTAAAGAAAAACTTTTTCTTAATTTTGTAATATTACAGGTATTACAGTATTTGCAATAGTACATTTGGAAAAGAAATTTGATTAAACCCTTCTTTACAGGCCTCACAACGTTTTTACATAGTTTAGCTAGAAATATATTGTGGAGATGAAAAACAAATGTATGAAATGGTTCTCTCGCATTTGTCTAAAAACCTCCACCAATAACAAAAGCAACCATTGGACCACCAGGTTGTCAGTCTCACTGAACCGTCGCACTTCTGCACTTCCCTGGGTCCTCCATTCATTACACACTCGCGTATTTAGCAACGGAACACCACTGGTGTGAGTTTTGTGGCTCAGTAATATTAGAGAAGGAGAAACAGCTGACTGCTATTACTTCAACTTTAGAACAAACTACCAAAGTCCCAAAATGAAAATCACCACTTCGGGGCAATATAAATGTTGCACGATTACCTTTTTATATCATAGAAAAGGGTTAGATAGTCAAATGTAACATTTTTAAATCACTTCAAAATTTTTAACTACATTCCCCATCTTTAAGCAAAGAAAAGATGATTTAATTAATTACCTGACTCAGTTGTAACTGTTTCCACTCTTCCAACCAAGTAGTATATGCAGCTTTGATTCGCCACAGCTCTTTACGTTCTATGACTTTCTTAACATCTGTTTTCAAAACGGTTAAATCCAGTGGTTGTTCTACAGAACAGAATACAGACAGAACTGCAGCAATTACCTAAGATTTTTCATTTCTGATTTATTCTTATCCTTATTGATAATCTATAACTTATCATAACTCAATCCAGAAATAAGTTACATAATAAATGATAATGCCTCACCTTGCATGTTTTGACTGCTCCTGTTATATTCTTCCAACTTTGCACTGAGCGTCTGCACATGTGCACACATGTAATTTAGCTCAGAGGCCATCTGTTTGGCATCCTGGCTTGGGTCGAGGAAAGGTCCAGATGAAGCCTTCAAGACTGTATTTTTAAGGTCACAGACCAAAAATGAAACCATTGTGTTCAGCGCGTTTGTCATTGAAGGAAGACTGTTGCACACATGACTATCTGCTTGCTTCAATATGGGAATAAAACTTTCCCACAAGCACAACATCTAAATGTAAGACACAAACAGAAAGGGGAAAAAAGGGTATTTTCAATGATTACATGAAATAGCTGCAATGTTTCAAAGATATGCACATAAATAATCAGCACAGCTATAAAGTGTTTTTTATTTTCACATCTGTGTCAGCAAACCTTTTCTTTTAAAGCCAACTCCTGTTCAGTCATCTTCCTACAGTTCATGCAAATCATGTTGTGGAGAGAGAGAATGCATTCCAAACGTTTCTGCATGTCAGCCCACATTCTCTCTGATTCCCTCACCTGCACAGGAAGGAAACATTTGCTTGTTTTTAAATATCAGGGATCAAAACAATATATACTCTGATGCTAGTTACGAGAAAGTGCTTAAAGACATTTGTCTTCTAAACCCATTTTTGCCTGAGAGGTCTCTGAGTAGCTCTAATGCTTAAAATGTGCATGAACCTCCATAGCAACCATTCTTAACGTTAGAAATAGAATGTTTACTACTAGCAACTAGTTTAGAAATCTAGACAAACTAAAGCAGTAGCAAAAGATTTTGCTCTGCAAGTTGGTCTAGCCACCCTCCTTTGTAGCATCAGCAGGTCTATATCGGCTCGGCGTAGTTTAGGCCTGGTTAATCACGGCGCTCTTTATTTGTAGAGAGGTGTTGTTTCGGCCTCTTTCACGGTGATGGCACAACTGTGACGGTGCAAAACAACAAAGATATCAGTGGCTCAGGAATGGCGCTCTTTTCAAACAGCTTTGGTATCAACTTTATACTATTTAGACTTGGACGTTTCTGTGAGCAGATAGAGGTACTTAAGTTCTTCTTCTTCTTTTAATGGTGTATGGTGAACTGTTCCATTGAATTATTTGCAGTCTCGTTGTTCGTCACTCTGATTGGTCCCAATTTCATGGGACAGTTTGAAAGACAACCATAGATTCTGCCTCTACAACTGAGCTCTTTCTATGGGTCTTTACCAGACTACATATTTACATATATAGGCCTGCCAGGCTAACCAGTTACAACACTCTAGAGTCTAGACTAAACGCAAGCCTTGGTCACAGTCACACTTATAAAGCAGGAATCAGAACCTGATTTTCTCACATTAAGCCATTTAACAAGACGCGTTTCCTTAGCGGGCAGTGTCTACCAAATAAATTACTTGGTTTATTTGTGACCAAAAGTAGCCCTAAAATAGCCAGAATATTATACCAACGTTATCCTTGAACAACAAACAAATGTCCTTTGTACGTTCGTTTTGTGTGTAACTGCATAATCCAGTAATTTGTTCTTTTTTTACACAGCTTAGTAAAAAAAAATAGTGTTTCACCTCACGTTTTGGCTGGTACCTCTAGCCATCACAAGATTTATTCGGTGTTGTTGGCATCACTTCTGATGATGGCTAGAGTTTTTAACCGAAACATGTAAGGTAATAAACTAGTTTTTTACTAAACTGTGTGAAAAAGGAACAAAGTAATGAACAATCACGTTTTCTTTCTATGTTAAGAAATATTATTGTGAAATAAGCAAAAGCCCATGTGCATGTGTACATTTTCCTTTTTTTTTTTGTAAAACATCACAACCACAACTGATTAGTTTTTGGAATGGATCAAATTCAAAGTCATCGTCACAGCTAATTGGTAAAACTCGGCCATAAAGGGCAGCAGGTTATATTTGTTCATTCAAGACATAAAAAAACACTTATTTCCTATTTTACATTAATTAAAACTTTACCCAAGTGTAAATTTAAATTCATTTTATACCCTTAAAGCATATGCTGCGAACTCCTGCACATCCTGTGGTTCTGTTTGGAGTTCAGCAGTCATCCTCTCTAAGTCAAAAACAAGGTTTTCGGAGTTCAACCTCGTCTGCTCAACCAGCTGCTCTACAACTTGCTTCTCAATGCGGCTCAGCTGGAGTCCTAAAGGAACAGCAGCAAAGAGTGAAAGAGGATTATCATCGAGAACAGAGACTTCAAAAGCCATTTTGTTAATAAGTGGATTGGATACATGTTTTTTCAAAAGAAGTACAACTTTTGAATTGAGTTCTTTATAAAATGTAAAGATAAAAATTTGTGGAAATCTTTATAAAAATATAACTTTTTTCTACGTATATTTATATGTACATCTGAATGGCTGATATTAACATTACAATAAACAATTATATAGGTTTTTACTCTTTTAATGACACAACTTTTACCATGAACATCAAACTCTTCAGCTATACGTCTCTTCACCCGACAGATCTGCGTTCTATTTTTAGAGGTATTTTTTGCCACAACTGGCCTTACTTAAATCATAGAACTTGTCATATTTTGCACTGATTAACGGACATCAGTAAAAAAATATATATATATATGTATATACATATATATATATATTCCCTACTTTTTATAGCAAAATCCAGAACCTTAATTTAAAATACAAGTTTTCTAGGTGATGGTCCTAAAGGTTTTGTTTTCTCTCAATTTTCTTTCATATTTGTTTTAATGATTTTCTCGTCACTGTGAACAGTTAGCAGAGGTGTGGACTCGAGTCACATGACTTGGACTCGAGTCAGACTTGAGTCATTATTTTAATAACTTCTGACTTGACTTGATAAAATCTATAAAGACTTACGACTTAACTCGGACTTGAATGCCAATGACTTGCAACTTGAATCAACTTGCGTCTGTTGACTTGATGATGACTTGAGCATATTTGATATTTTAGCACAAAAGTGACACAACATGGATAAAAATCATGAATCATTCTTCGTTCTGGGTTTGATCTTGTACTGCAAAATCCAGCAGCACTTTGTTTATAATCAGTTTCAGTTGTAGTTTCTACTTGTTTGAGCAAAATTTTGAAGCTTTAAGAAGCTTTATTTCTGGAATTTATTTATTATCATTGTCATTAAATTGAAGTTGGACAGATGACTTGATTATGACTTGAAAATCCAAAGTTAAGGACTTGAACTTGACTTGGACTTCCAGATCATTGACTTTGGACTCGACTTGGACTTGACTCGAGACTTGACTGAAAAGACTTGTGACTTGCAAAGCAATGACTTAGTCACACCTCTGACAGTTAGTTGGATGTTAGAATATGAAATATGAACTTTTATCTCCCAACAGTCAGTATTTCTGTTACATCTTCTTAAGCTGTAACAGGTTTGCTAACTTACAATTAGCATTTTAAGGTCACATTAAAAGAAAAGTTTTACCTTCACACAGTGAATACCTACGTAGAGTTTCCTTTGTGTGGGTACAGCTGATGAAGAACAGCTGATTGGAGGTATTAACTGATGAGACAATAGCGTCAACCTTTTGGGCCCAGTAGCTCAGTTTTTTGATGTTCTCCTCATACACCGAAGCAGGCTGATCCTTCATGGACTCTAAAGAACCTGGACTCCACTGGCGAACAAACGAATGGATCTCCTTCAGCCAAGCAAAGCTGTCACACACCTGCTGGATTTCTAACTCTGTATCCTGTGCAAACAGCAATGGCAATCAACAGCAACACACATAAACTGCTGATTATGTGTCATATTTCGGAATTCTGCTTCAGACTCAGATCTTATTGGACTCAGAAACAGCCTTGCCTGCATGATCTTGGCCTGCTCAGTTTCAGCTTTTCTAAAAACATCCTCAATATTGACGTGCCACTCCAGCTGTGCCTTGGAGAACGGACGGTAACAGCCTTGAACCCTGATGCCTTGAACCTTCAGAGAATTAGCTTCTGGCTGCATCATCTGGTGAGCTAACATGCATCTGAGCGACTGAAACTTCACCTCCTCTTTCTTTACTCCTAGAAATAAAAGGTAAATCAGCACTGTAAACAAATCACAATAAATCGGAAGTTATCTGAGAGTGAGACACGTCATCATACCTGTGGTTGCTGAATGTTTAACACATTTAGAGTCAGAGATTAAACCCTGATCTTCGTTACATAATTTACTGCTGATCTCCTGGAAAAATCCCAAATTTTCACACATCTGCCATTGATGAAAAAATTCATGTTATCACAAATCACATTTCCTAAGATCTGACGTGACTTGTACATTTAAGAGTGGCGCTTTAATGCAAAATACCTGAACAATGGTGTTGTCAGAAGTCAGGAGTGATTCATTTGCTGCTTTATGAAACTCGTGAACGGCTGAGTCAACAGTCGGCCGACTGTTAGCAGTGAAACACAGCTCAACGTAGAAGAGGCAGCACTGCTGCGATCGATCCCTCTGGGGGGGGGGGGGGCACATTTTATTCAGGTAAACCAAAACTTTAAGTATTGTTGCTTGTTAAATAAAAAGTAGTACTTCATACTAAATGTGGATCCAGTTCTGTGTTTACTGTCATACTTTAAAGCTGGGGTCCTTAGTGTGACGTCAACAAGAAGCAGAAGAGATTTAGAAATTTGAACATCTTTGCTCCCCCTCCTCTTCTAATAGGAGTTGAAAGCCACCCCTCATACCTTTCACATGCACATTGCCTTTTAGTGCTAACAGAGGCCCACTGAGGCTGTATGTTTTTGATATGTTCCTGCTCAGACACACACGATTCTAACTGCTGAATTTTTTTCTCAGCCCTCATCAGGTTCTGCAGGAGCAGCTAATCATCCGTTTGAATCAAATAATCAGTGTTCAAGCAGGAAAACATCTAAAACTGACAGAAATTCAGCACTAATAATACTAGCATACCCCTGCCAATGCTATAACAGGCTACACCATCAATAGTGTGGTGTAGCGTACGTTATTCACTTAGCTCCAATACACAAAAGATTAATCTCTTTGTGTTCCCCTCCCTACAGACAGCAGTAGCTCAGGAGGGAGAGCGGGTTGTCCAGTAATCAAAGGGTTGTAGGTTCAATCCCAGGTACCGGCAAAGAATCCTCCTGTTGTGTCTTTGGACAAGACACTTAACCCACCTTTCCTTCTGGTGGTGGTCGGAGGGACCGGTGTCACCTGTACATGGTAGCCTCGCCTCTGTCAGTGTGCCCCAGGGCAGCTGTGGCTACAGTGTAGCTCATCACCACCAGGGTATGAATGTGTGTGCATGGGTGAATGACTGTTTGTGTTGTAAAGTGGCTTGGGGGGGAGAGGGGGGGAGAGGGGGGGGGGGGTTCTAGGACTCTAGAAAGAAAAGAAATATAGGCCATTCACCATTTACATTAATTGAACGCAGGTTGAGTTAGCATTCAAGCTAGGTTGGTGTGCTAAACTGACTATTCCCACAGTGCTAGCATTCTCTTGTGGCTAACTCTATTGGCCTAACCTTAACCCTAACCCAAAGGATCACCATGTACCCCAATCAGAAGCCTTGGATGAACCGGGATGTTCGTCTCCTACTGAAGGCCCGCATCATCGCTTTTAGGACAGGAGATGCACACGCCTAAAGTACAGCCAGGGCTAATCTAAAGAAGGGCATCAAAAAAGCCAAACACCATTACAAAAAGAAGATAGAAGAACACTTCTCCAACTCCAACCCCCGACGCATGTGGCAAGGACTCCAGACCATCACAGACTACAGGATCACCAAACCCTCCCCTGCATCCTCTGATCTTTCCTTCCTCAACGAGCTCAACAACTTTTATGCTCGTTTTGAGCGCCAGACCACCAACCTCTGACTCTCTCCCCCAAAGATGTACGAGCGGTGCTGAGCAGGATCAATGTCCGCAAGGCTGCAGGCCCTGATGGCATCCCTGGGCGTGTTCTCAGAGCGTGTTCTGGGGAGCTCGCAAGAGTGCTCACAGACATATTCAATCTGTCCTTGGCCCATACTGTGGTACCGGCCTGCTTCAAATCCACCTCCATCGTCCCGATACCCAAAAACTCCAACCCATCTAGCCTCAATGATTACCGCCCGGTAGCACTCACCCCCATCATCACTAAGTGCTTAGAGCAGCTGGTCTTAGCACACTTCAAATCCTGTCTCCCCCCCCACCCTGGACCCCCACCAATTTGCATACCGCCAGAACAGGAGCACAGAGGATGCAGTCTCCATTGCACTGCACTCTGTCCTCTCACACCTGGACAACACCAACACCTACGCCAGAATGCTGTTTATAGACTTCAGTTCAGCATTCAATACAATCCACCCTGACCCCTCACAACTCATCAGGAAACTGACAGACCTGGGGATCAGTTCCCTCACCTGCAAATGGTTACTGGACTTCCTGACCAACCGCCCTCAACATGTCCGACTGGATAACCGCTGCTCATCAACAATCACAATGAAAACTGGTGTACCACAAGGCTGTGTGATGAGCCCTTTCCTCTACTCCCTTTTCACCCATGACTGCAGACCTTCTGATGGTTCCAACACCATCATTAAGTTTGCAGATGACACCACGGTGATTGGCCTCATCAGTGACAACGATGAGACCGCCTACAGGGAGGAGGTGGACCGTCTGACTGAGTGGTGCGACACAAACAACCTGCTGCTCAACACTGAGAAGACTAAGGAGCTCTACAGGAGGAATGCTGACCCACATCCACCCATCCACATTAAGGGGACGGCAGTGGAGCGTGTGAGCGGCTTCAAGTTCCTGGGAGTCCACATCTCCGAGGATCTCACCTGGACTACCAACTGCTCCAAGCTGGTCAAGAAGGCTCACCAGCACCTCTTCTTCTTGAGGACTCTGAGGAAGAACAACCTGTCCTCAGACATCCTGGTGAACTTCTATCGCTGCACCATCGAGAGCATCCTGACCAACTGTATAACAGTCTGGTATGGGGACTGCTCCGCCTCGGACCGGAAGGCGTTGCAGAGGGTCGGGAAAACTGCCCAGCGCATCGCCGGAGCACCACTTCCTGCCATAAAGGACATCTACAGGAAGCGGTGTCTGAAAAGGGCTAGGAAAATCATCAGAGGCCACAGTCACCCATCACATGCACTGATCACCCTGCTGCCCTCTGGGAGGCGCTACAGGAGCCTCCGGACTAAGACCACCAGGTACCGGAACAGTTTCTTCCCCACAGCTGTCAGACTCCTGAACTCTGCCTCCTGACATATGACCCACGTTAAACTCATGGACTGCTTGTATTAACTACAGCCTGTACATACTTATAGTCATAGAATATTCATAACATACTTCATACCGTGTACATTATAACATACATAATAGATCCATTTCTGTAATATACTTACACATCTATATTATTGCTAACATATATTGTAATACATCTATATCACGGCTAAAGCACTTTCTGGATGGATGCAAACTGCATTTCGTTGCCCTGTACCTGTACATGTGCAATGACAATAAAGTTGAATTCTATTCTATTCTATTCTATTGGTTAAGGCTCAAGGCTCATGTGAATGATTTGCTGTAGAGGCCAGGCGAGGAACTTTGGGGAGATATAAATGGTAAAAGATTGCCTATTTTATGTCCATGAATGGGGTCAGATTATTTAATTTAACCATTTTTGACGTTACTTTAAAATAATTTTAAACTGTAGTCCCCAGCTTAAAGTTCAAACTCTGTTTGAGCATACTGTCCATTTTAAGACCAAAGCCATAAAGCATCAATGATTTAAATATGTTTTCTTTAACAGAGTGGTCCTCATTAGTGTTGAAGAATCCTGCGGCATCGGTGGAGCTCATGAATGTTCTCGTAGTACCTTTAACAAACTGAGAAAGGAAACAGCATCTTGTTTGGTGATGGTGATGAGACCCTGAGTAATCATCTGATGGACAAGTGCTGCAAAATTTCCCAGTTTCCTCAGGATGACTTCAGACTGGCACAGCTCTTTCTTCAGCTGATGTCGGTACGCCAGAAGCAGGTGAATGGGTTCAGAACAGCTGGTTTGCTGTTTTGCTCGTTTTAGTTGCATCTGGAGCTCCTTGTGCCTCCTGTAGGTCTCCTCTTTCACCTTAATGTGAAACAAATTTATAAGAACTGATTGGAAAGAATACATTTCTTGGAATTAAAAAAAAGATCAATACATTTTCTGTGGAATTTTTCTAGAAATACTCTTATGAAAACGCAATGATATGACCTTAGTAGGTAAATAGTCACTGTTTGCTCTAAAGACTGAAGGACATTAATGTAAGAAAATAAATAAATACCACGTTCAGGATACCCAGATGGTACTGAGATAACTTCTTCAGTTTCAGACGGTACTCTTCATTTTTATTCATCAGCACTTTCTTGAATTCCTGAATTGTGTAGGTTTTACAGTCATCCAATGGCATCCAGTGTGTGTCCTTCAGCTCCCCGATCACTCTGTCAATGAGTTCTAGTTTTATTTGAGGCACACGTTCTCTAAAACACACTTAAAAGTAATTCTCACTCTGATTTTCTGACTCTTCCTGACTCTCGTAACCATTAACTTACCTGGTGAACAGATAAAGAGCTTCTCGGAACTGAGGGACAGCTACAAGAAGGAGATCCTGTAGATTCTTACACTTCCTCTGAAAAGAGACCATGCGCTTGTTCTCCTTCCACCTGCCACATTCACCCGCAGAGTAGAAAACATAGTCAATATTTTATTCAAGTGCTGAGCAAGACAAAAAGCAAGTAGGAGACTCTACCTGGCAAAGGCTTTCTTGATTCTGAAGTTCCTAATAAAAGGAATCTCCTGCAAAGCTGTCCACAACACGCACTCTCTGTACCACTCTGAGAGACTGAGGGTGCCACCAAAACCAGTCTCGGTCACATGAATCACCGTGTTGGGTGAGAAGATATAGTGATCAGAACCAGCCTCACTATAATGGACCACCTTCAGATCATACGGTCTGTGTACAAGAAAAAAGGTCAAATAAATAAGACTGTGCATCCATGTCTGAACTTTCAGAGTAAATTAAAAATATAACACAGGAAGAGGAGCCCTTTCCCATTCTACCTGCAGGCATCCTCATCCACTTCTTTCAGGTAGAAAAACTCTGGTTCCTCTGGGTCTCGTCTCTGACCAAACACGTGAGCAACTTCTAAGCCCGTATGGGGATATTTATCTAGTTGGGTCGCTTGTTTATAAGTTTTTCTTTTTATTCTACATGCGGAAACTTTTATTGGTTCATCTTTTTCTGCAGGACTGAAACAAAAACAACAACATAGATGAAACAAGACTTTCTTTAAGATTCTGAAGGCTTGAGAGGTAAAAGATGATGGCTAAAATTGCCAGCTTGGTTATTGCATCTGTAAAATTCTTGCTCATAGTTTTTCTCTTTTTTCTACAGAAAAGTGACAGTTTTAAGTAAATTAGAAATGACATTCATATACAAAATAATTCACATTTTCTGAGAGAATTTGTTCACCTTTCTGCTTCCAGCTGGGTGCGTCTGATGGGGATGGCGGCCCCTAAAGCTGCAGCCATTAGAGGTCCTTCTTTCTGTTTTGTCTCTGGCTCTGCCTGAGGTACAAGTTGAGGCAGTTCCAGCAGTGACAGAGTTTTATCAGATGGAGTATTTTTATGGATATATGAGCAACTCAACAGAGGCCTAACAGCAAGAGGCGGTAAAGTCACTTTAGGAGAATCCGTCTTTTTCTTGACTTTGATCTTTGTAACGTCTTTGCTGCGGGTCGGTGAAGATTCATCTGGGAATCTGTCCTCTGGAAGGGCAGCGAACATGCTGCTGACCTCTCTGGGAGTACCATCCGCTAATATGAGCGAAGTGAAACTGGCCTTGTTGGTCACTCACACTGGGATTTCTGAGGTGAAAGAGAACACACAAACGCATTGTTCATAATTTAAAAATATTGAAATTACTGCAGTATTTATGTACAAAGTACCTATTAATTTCATGCAAGATGAACAATTAAAGCTATTAAAAACTATTAAATATACAATTACATAGATAACTAAGCTTCCAGCACTCATATGCACAAACAACATTCACATTATTTCTGCTTCTGGTGTTAAACTGTTTAAGTTATTTGTTAACCTCAAGCAAGGCTAGCACTGAGGAAGATTAATGCAGATTATAAAAATACGAAATTAGAGAAGTATATAGGAAGAGAGCTCTTGATTGGTGGTGTATAAATATTCTACTCATTTTTGGGAAGCCTATGTATCTATGCGTGTTCCGTATAACTGTGTAAAAATGATATAAAAATATTTTCTAGGAGATAAAAACTGTTTGGCAAATGCAAAATTTCATATTATCGCCTCAGATTAAATGGATGAATGGAAGCAAAAATATATTACTGTAACTTATTTCTGACTTACAAGTGAACACCGGCCTGCTTTTAAGTAACTTTACACACAAAACAAATGGGAACATGGGGAAAATATAAGCTAGGTCAATGAAATTGCATATAAGTCATTTAAAAATGCACTGGTGTGGAGAGTTTTGATTTCAAAAGTTTTCAAGTTCCTCATAGCTTTCATAATTCCCTGCACTCTCTCAAACAAACAACAACGTGCTAAGATAAAACGAAGATGAGCACGGACGTTTAGTTAGCTAACCTCGCTAACATCTTTCACAACTGCTGACGTCTCAAAGCCAAAAAGTATTCCACTAGTTTAACTTTTAGTCATTAACCCGACGTCATGGCGTCATACAATTAAACAAGAGGCGATTCTGATTCTAAACACGGAGTTTATAAAACGCGCTATTTGATAAAAGTAGAAAAGAAACAGATTTTCTCACCTGCGAGTTTGTGAACGCAACCACGGCGACTGCTCGTCTCCATGGTAACGCAGAGCGAGACAGGGCTTTGGTCCTGGTGAAAAGTGTGAGCGACTTTTACTTTGTGCGCATTAAATCACGCAGTTAGCACTTCTGTTGCTGTAAACCAAACCACAGATGGATGATGATAGATAGATGATAGATAGATGATAGATAGATAGATAGATAGATAGATAGATAGATAGATAGATAGATAGATAGATAGATAGATAGATAGATAGATAGATAGATAGATAGATAGATAGATAGATAGATAGATAGATAGATAGATAGATAGATAGATAGATAGATAGATAGATAGATAGATAGATAGATAGATAGATAGATAGATAGATAGATAGATGATAGATAGATAGATAGATAGATAGATAGATAGACTACCTCTATTGCTTAGGATTTAAATATTTTCTAGAACATTTTGGACATAATCAGTTATGTCCACTCCAGCTTCTCAAATACGACAATCCTGCATGTTTTAGTTGTTTTCCTTCTCCAGCACACCTGATTCAGTGGTTAAATTACTTGATAATTTTAATCCATCAATAATTCAAAGCAGTTGTGATTGAGAGATGTCAAACTCCAGCCCACATCCAGCGTGTTTAAGTTGTTTATTCAGTGGCTGAATGACCTGTTCAGCCTATAAATCACCTGCTGATTAAAACCAGTTGTTTTAAACAACTAAACAGGGAAACGAGTAAAACATGCTAGTAGACATCAGGGACCGGAGTTGGTGACCCCAGATAAAAAGCATGCAGGATGGTGGCCCTTGAATACAGAGTTGGACATCAGTGGCTAATGATTGTTGTAATAGTAGACTCTTTTTTTTTTCAAGTGGCATCTGATTAGGGTTTGGGTTAGGCATAGTGGACTCACTAAAATGAATGCAAGTCAATGCAAAGTCCTAACATGGGTACAAATACAAGAATGTGTGTGTGTGTGTGTGTGCGTGCGTGCGTGCGTGTGTGTGTGTGTGTGTGTGTGTGTGTGTGTGTGTGTGTGTATTTGTTAGCGGCTCCGCCCTTTCGGTCTGCTAGGCAACAGCTTTGGTTGCATTTTTCAGACAGTAAGTGGGAGTGGAGTAATACTCTGGTAGGGGGTGACTTGCTCTTTAACCCTTTCTTTCCACCGGCTGAGTAAGTGGTGTTTAACAATATATAGATGTTTTATACACAAGCTCCCTTCCGACCGGAAGCAATACTGATGCTAAACGGGAGTGAAAGTGTTCCACACAGCTGATCCCATGAGGTCACAAAATGAGAATTGCAACACCACGTGTGATTTCCACACGTGGAGTTGCAATTCACACAAGCAGGGAGAAAGACAGCTGCTTGTACCCAAGGTCTGTGGTTTACTTTCTGTTCTGTTTACATCAACTACGGGGTTCACCGGAAATACATGCTGCATATAACTTTTAATTTGAATGTTTTTGGATGTTTTACACTGCCTTCATGTTTGACTTCCTGTCTGGCTCGATCTGAACTGCAGAGTTTGGCGTGTTTTGAAAGTGTAGCGCGAAAAAAGTAGACTCAAAACGTAATGATAGGATCCCTTCACTCATGGGACACGTCCAGAACGCTACACTTAGCTACCAGTGGAAAGGACCCTGTCCGCTATAACGGAGGCTAATTGCAGCGTGGTAAGTTTCGCGGCCGTTTCACAATGCTTTCACGTCTGGAGGAAAGACGAGCTCAAAAGGGCTGCATTCTATTTTTGCACCTCTGCTTGCTGATTGTGCTCTAAAACTGCTAACAAGCAGAGCTTCTAAATAGAATGCAGCCTTCGTTAACACACCTCTGCTTTATTTAAACCCAAAGTCTGCCGTAAAGGCAACCTATTGAATTAGCAGACATACTCATCAAGAAGTCCAGTATGACCATATCCATGAAGTCCACCAGTCTTGTCCCTTTGTCATATGGTGGGGTCTTTTTTATTGTTTCACAATAATCAGGGTCTGCTTCCCAACTGAAATACAAAAATGCATTAGTGTCTTCTTATGATTAGTGGGATTTTTGTTTTTGCTTGCTGGATGACAAATAAACACACTGGTTCTTTTCTGTGCACTAACCTTGCCAGCTTGCTGCGGCTGTAGGAGCGCCTCCACGGGGATCTCCAGCTCCTGCGGGTGGCCAGAGACAGATCTGGCAGCATAACAGCCAAGGAGGCCTCAAGGTCCCGAGGATGGCCACACACAGCATGCTCAGTGGAGCAGTAATAAGAGCACTGGCCATAGAAGCACACATTGCCCACTAGAGGGAGAAAGAGGCGCACACAGTAAGTAAAAATTACAGGAAGGAAATGAGAACAATGACAAAGTAAAAATGTCATTAGAGAGGGAGAAAGAAAGAGTATAAAGGTGTTTATGATCAGGATTTCAAAAGCATTTTAAACAGGCTGTGTGTAAGTTAAGGGTACCAGGGGAAGTAAAGAAGGTTCTGGCCAACTTGCGGTCAGTAGTGACATCTTTGATCTCCTTTATCACATTCACCAGCCTCCCGACCACGGGGGGGATCCTCCTGTAACCCAAAATCCTGCAGAAGTACAGAGAAAAAGCCACAAACAAAGGAATGAGCTTTGTGATTCATTTTCTGCTCGCCCACATTCTGTGTTTGTTGTCTCTGTTTTACTGACCCTTACTGACTCACCTGTCCAGGTGAAAAGCTGCAATTTCTGCATTGTGTCTCTCAAAGTCTGAGAAATAGTAGAGGTTATAGTTGGACTCTTCATCTCTTTCCTGCCTGTCAGAGAAAAGATAAATTCACTGATGCATTAAATTAAATTAAATTCCATATAATTATTCCATCAAATGGTCACAGAGGACTAATCCACAAAACTAGTGTTCAGTGATTCCAGCTGTAGGAGCCTGTTGTACTTCTGCTCTGTTGGATCTTTTCTTGTATTTTCATGAGTTTTCTTTTTTAATCAGTAAAATAAAATCTATGTTTTAAAAAACGTTTATTTTGGTGTTGCACAATGTGACTTTGCTACACCATCTGAAATGTAAATTAGTGGTAGTAAAGTTTATTTATATGGCGGTTATCACCAGAGACGTTACAACATAATTAGAAGACAAAAACAGATGAATAAAGATCATTAGAAACTAAAATGTTCATAAAACAAATCACACAAAAGGTTTAAGCAAAAGTGATTTTTTTGTAGGATTTCTGCAGTCAAGGTGTTGAGGGGATTCGTTTTGGTGACCTAATGATCAGGTCTCTGCTCTTTGCAGATGATGTCCTGTTGGCTTCTGACTGTGATCTCCAGCTTTTGCTTGAGCGGTTAACAGATGAGTGAAGAATCAGCTCCCCTAAATCCGAAACCACGGTCTTAAACTGGAAAAAGGTAGAATGCCTTCTTCAGGTCAGGGACGAGGTCCTGCCCCGAGTGGAGGACTATAAGTGTCTCAGGGTTTTGTTCACAAGTGAGGGAAAGGCGGATCGGGAGATCGGTGTTGTGTCTGCAGTGATGCGGGCATTGTACCGGTCTGTCGTGGGGAAAAGACTGCTGAGCCAGAAGGCGAAGCTTTCTATTTACTGGTTGATCTATGGAAATTTGTTGTCTCTGCAGGGGTTCTGGGCTCTTTCTTACAGATAGGGTGATAAGTTTGATCATCTGGGAACTCAGAGTAGATCTGTTGTTCTCCAACGTCAAGAGGAGCCAGTTGAGATGGCTCAGGCATCTGAGTAGGACACCTGGACACCTCCCTGAGGTTTTCTGGGCACATCCAACTGGGAAGAGACCAAAGGGAAGGCCCAGGACACGCTGGAGGGACTTTCTTGTCTGGCCAGGGAACACCTTGAGATTCCTCTGGAGGAGCTGGCCCAAGTGGCTAAGGAGAGGGAAGTCTGGGCCTCCCTGCTTAGGTGGCTGCTTCCACGACCTGACCCTGGATTGGATGAAAATGGATGGATGAATTTTAAATATGGGGTATTTCGCTGCTCTTTAAAGGTTTACAGACTGCCAGTGCTACGCAAGCCCCCACAATGTGGGTGAAAAATTGAGTCCAACGCGGAAGTGACAAAAATTGCAGTTCCACCCTCATCCGCTGGGGGCTGGTGTCAGAAGCGAGCAAATCATTGACTCCCAAGTTAAAAATACCAATTTCACAGCAGAAATAAACATGTTTACAGCCTGGTTCCAAAATATGTTTTTGGTTTAAATGATCTAGTTTACACTCATGACAACTCTGAGGGGGGTGAATGTTTTTTTCACGCTTCTGTTTAAGTATATTAAAAGCCTAAAATTCTGTATAATTAATGAGCATCAGACCCACGTGACCACAGAGCTAGCTCCGTGGAAAGGCCTCAGTAGATCATCGGTCTGGCCTGGAAACTGTTCTGGGATTTTGAGTCTCCGTGTTTGTGTATTCTTTTTTGGATATTATTTGTGCAATTGTTGGACAAAAGGACTTGCTGTGGCATTAATTGCACTAATAGAGCGTCCAAGGAGTCTCCACTTCATTTTTTTCGGTAAGTAAAATTATATTTATGTATTTTAGGTCACTGCCGAGCTGAGCTTAGATTTTAACATGTACTGTTTAACCATGAAATTTAAATGTAATAGGGTAAAACCCAGTGCATTTAACATAATGTTGCACTTTAGAAAATGGGTTGAAATATAACATATTGGTGGAGCTGGGTTCCGACTATCAGCTTGTGGAGCTCTCGGGAGACCGATGTTTTCCACCCGTTCTCCCCTCCCCGCAGCTCGGCACATCTCTGTCTGATCGCGGCTTCTGTCTGCTGCGCGGGCTGCCGGCTTGTGGAGCTCTGGGATGGAAACCTTTCCACCCGGTTCTCCCAGCGGCAGCTCTGCGCATCTCAGATCGCAGCAGCGCTTGTCTGCTGCGCAGCTGCCGGCTTGTGGAGCTCTCGGGAGACCTCTGTGTTCCACCCGGTTTTACCCAGCGGTCAGCCCGGCGTATCTCTGATTCAGAAGTTCTAGTGTTGTGCACAGTTAACTCCGCTTGTAGCTAGGTTGCTACCTCCGTTAGCTTAGCTCCCACCTCCGCGTTAGCTTTGGGTTAGCTTCAGGTTAGCTTGTAGCTAGTTCGACCGAGTGTCGTCAGTTGATCCCAGCCTTACAGCCCCACCCTCAGCTCCACCTCTCTTCCCTTTTGTGGAATTGTCTGGGCTTGACGGAACCTGTGACACGGTCAAAATGGTGGTGGTGGCCACCTCCCATTTTAGCTCAAAAACTTATTATAGGAGACTATGGAAACCCATTGTCCAATATTTATATGTCGATGGTGCTACGTAAGAATAAAAGAAGTTCCCAGCCAAAGGTTAAACTTCTATATATAAGAACAGCTGATTGAGTTTTAGCAACGCCTAGAATAAAACTCAGTTTCATGGATGTAGGGCAGGAGCAAAAAGGGAGGGGAAGGAGGCGGAAGTTTCAATTATTTTTTCCATGGTAACCATAAGGAATATACGATCACTGGCAAATGAGTGAAGAAGATCGGCACGTTAAAGAGGAAACAGCATGTCCACTAGGGATGCAGTATTTAGTAGGGATGGGTACCTTTGACATTTGAATCGATCCGGTACTAATTCCCGGTACCTACGAGTCGATACCGGTACTTAACGGTACCAATTTTCGATACTTTTGAGTGTTTATTATTTTAATTCTCTTTTATAATTAAATATATATTTTTCTCAATATATAACCATATTTGATAAATATCACGATAAATAACATACAACTTTTTGTATTTTAGCATCGTCCTTGTAGTTTTATAAGCTGATAATTAAACTGAAGCAAACATCTTTACTGTGAACTAAATTTACTGTGTATCTTCATTTCTTTTACCGTCCTTTTTCATTTGATTTTTCCGACTGGGAAGTTAGAATTTCCGAGGAGAAAGCGAACGCACCATTAGCTGATAACGGTGGCAATGGAAGCTAACATATCAAGCTAACGTTATCTTTAACAGTTTATTTAGCTGCTGGAGCAGATTAAAACGATGATGCCTCACACTTAGATCGTTGTCACTGGTTTTACCTTCACCCAATCACCCGTCACATTTAGTAAAGTAAAGCCAAACTGTAGAGCGCGTTCATGTTCATCTAGTCGGAAAATCGGAGTTCCGAGGAGAAAGCGAACGCACCATTAGCGAAACGGAAGCTAACATATCAAGGTAACGTTATCTTAAACATTTTATTTACCTACCGGAGAAGATTAAGATGAGGATGTCTCACTTAGATCATTGTCTGTCGCTGGTTTCATCCAGTTACCCATCACATTTAGTGAAGTGGACCCAAGTTTTAGCGTGCGTTCTTTCTACCCATGCTGCTCTGTTTACAACTCGCTCGCAGGGACCGGCGACATAACGCTCTTGCGCATGCGCTACTGTCTTGGCAAGTTCTCGTTATGAAGGACGGGTACCGAAACGAGGCACCGTTTGAAATGACGTGAATCGGTGCTCGGTCGGTACTATGGAATTCGGTCGGTACCTTAAAAAGTACCGAATTCGGTACTCATTCCTAGTATTTAGTACAGATTTGTAATATAATGCAGTAATGCAGTAACACAGTAATGCAGATTTAATCATGCCTCACTCTCTGCTACACTTCCAACATTTCAACAGTTTGTCAGCTGCTCCACCAGAGAAAACAAGACATTGGATTTGTGTTATGCAAATGTAAAGAATGCAAACATGTCCAACACAAGACCTCCTCTGGGACAATCAGATCACAATCTTGTTTTTCTCTGCTCAGAACACAAACCACTTGATCACAGGCAACCTGTGACAAGAAGAACTGTGAGAAAATGGTCACAGGATGCTGAAGAAGCCCTGCAGGGTTGTTTTGAGACCACAGATTGGATGACTCTCTGCCAAGGATATGAAGAGGACATCAATGCCATGACTGGATGTGTCACTGACTATATAAACTTCTGTGTGGACAACATCATACCCACCAGAACAGTGAGATGCTTCACTAATAACAAACCCTGGATCACCAGTGAACTGAAGAAATCTGCTAAATGAGAAAAAAGAGCCTTCAAGGAGGGAGACAGGGAATTATTGAGGAGTATACAGACGCAACTGAAGATCAAGATCAGAGACAGCAAGGAGGCATACAGGAAGAAGCTTGAGAACAAACTAGAGGAACAATATCAGAGATGTCTGATCAGGGATGAAGTACACAGGCTTCAAGCAGAGGAAGGATTGCACAGATGGCAGCCTGGAAACAGCCAATGAACTGAACAAGTTCTGCAATAGGTTCAGTTCGGGAACAAACCCAGCATCCTCCTCACCTGTCCCCAGCAAATCAAACATCCCATCCTCCTCCCATCAGTAACATTGGAGCACCACAGGGGACTGTACTGCCACCATTCCTTTTCACCCTGTACACCTCAGACTTCCAGTACAAATCAGAGACCTGTCATCTACAGAAATACTCAGATGACTCTGCAGTTGTCGGGTGTATCAGAGATGGACAGGAAGCTGAGTACAGAGAACTGGTGGAGCGCTTTGTGGCATGGTGTGGAAACAATCATCTGACATTGAACGTGATAAAACAAAGGAGATGATTTCAGACTTCAGAAGAAACAGGGTGGAGTCAAACACTGTTTCCATCATAGGAGAAGAAGTGGAGGTGGTTGAGGAATACAAATACCTTGGAGTTCACCTGAACAACAGACTGGACTGGAGAAAGAACAGCGAAGCCGTTTACAAGAAGGGACACAGCAGACTGCACTTCTTGAGGATGCTTAGGTCCTTCATGTCTGTAGCAAGATGCTGCAGATCTTCTTCAAGTCTGTTGTTGAGAGTGTAATCTCTTCAGCCATCGTCTGTTGGGGAAGTAGCATCAGAAGCAGGGACCTGAAAAGGCTCAACAGCCTAAGAAAGGCTGGTTCTGTTCTGGGGACGACTGTGGAACCACTGGAGGAGGTAATGCAAAGAAGGATTCTCCAGAGAATCAAGAAAATTATGGACAACCCTGAGCATTCTCTTCACAAGACTGTCCGACAACGGAAGAGTGTCTTCAGTCAGAGGCTTCTTCAGTTTCGCTGCAACACTGACCGCTACTGGAGATCCTTCCTGCCAACAGCCATTGTAATATACAATAACTCTTTGACGACTTGATGATATTATTATTATTATTATTATTATTATTATTATTATTATTATTATTATTATTATTAGCTACTACAGCAATCAATTTCCCTCTGGGATTAATAAAGTATTTTTGAATTGAATTGTATCACGTGCCTCATCCATCCTTGGCTCCAGGATAATTTTCCAGGTACTTAACTCAAATTCAATAACACAGAGTTGAGAATGAGGAAAGATTGTACTGCTTCTTAGCAACAAATATTAGAACACTTACATGAGCATTGTGAGTTTTTAAAGAGCAAGTCAACCCCTACCAGAGTCTAACTCCACTCCCACTTCATGTTTGAAAAATGCAACACATGCTGTTGCCTGGCAGACCGAGAGGGCGGAGCCGCTAACAAATACACACACACTCAGGCTCACGACAGCATTGTGACATCATAATGTACCAGTTTACATCATAGCATACTTCTTAGCCAATAGCGGTGGCAGATTTAAATTAGAATACAGTGCAGAGTTTTTACCTGACAACGGCACAACACTGCCAGTTTTAGGCAGAATATTTAAATTTTAACTAAGATGCACTGAAATGCCAAATTATTGACAACACGTGTCTGCAGCACGATTAGACACTCGTTTATTTAGTTTATCAGCAAAAAAAATGTTTATTTGGGGGTGACTTGCTCTTTAAACATGCTGATTACTTATTTTCCTGTTAATGCTGAATGTGATGTTGTTGCCAGGTTACCAACTTAGCAACCCAGCACATTCATAATGATCTCTAAAGATCCCAACCACATCTTTCTCTGCTGTATTACAACATCCCTGCTGTTTGTGCTGAGATTTAAATATAATTATTACAACAAATTCACTTTTTTACATTTTTCTAATAAATTTACACCGTGCTGAAACAAATTCTCTAATGATGTTGATGTTGTTTTAAGTTCTTTAATTTGAAAGTTCCTGTTAGGTGTGTTGGTAGTTCAACTTGCAGCTCACTTCTTAGGTTTGAACAAGGCTTGTCCATAGTTGGGAAATGACATCACCAGTTTCAATTGTGTCCCTCCGGATTTCTGCACTGAAAAACATTGAGAAGAATGTTACCATAGCAACAAAGCACACACACACACACACACACACACACACACATCCCGCTGTGACCAAATGCCCTGGCCTTTTAACCCTTTGATGCATAATGGTCACTACAGTGGACAGGTACTTAAAATTGTTATTTATTTATTTTTGCTATTAAGCACAGCTGTTGAAGACTTTATTGCATTTGAACCCCTCCATCTGTACTTCAGTAAGTCAAGCCAACATTTTTCATGTTCAGATTGCACACTGTCCACTGAGGTGGACATGTAATAAATTATTTGTAAATTAAATTTTACAAAAAATATGTAAATATGAAATTTGTTTCATTCACACCTAAAGATGAATGAAAAAAATTGTTTAAAAAATCATGGTTGACGATTTCATAATTCATGCATCAAAGGGTTAATGGAGCCACATGCAAGCAAACACACCGAATCTGTGTGTCATCGTGGAGGTACAGTATGGTACGTTTCAATCAGCTCTGTGTTGACACAATGCTGAGTTCATCCCTGTTTTTCTCTCACACGTCTTTATTTGGCAGGAGTTTGCATCATATGAATCAATTCCTGTCAAAGTTGCACCCTTTCTACAGAGTGGAGTCATACATCACTCATATGAGACAAATTTATTGCAAATGTGTGTTTGAGCAATTGCTTCTGAATTGTTGTAACTTTATTTTTATATGATGAAAAGATCAATTGGTAGCCTCTGGATCGATAAACATGGTTTCCTTTAAATTTGGCCATCATTTCAGCCTACAGTGCATAATTACACGGTGTTAACTACAAGGATGTAAACAGGTTGAATACGCTTTTAGATAAAGTGGACAACTTGTCCAAGGTTGGATCAAAACTGGAAGCATCCTTCCTGAAAGATTGTAGTCATGTTTTATATGCAACACATATCCTGGTCAGAGCTGCTAAAACATATCCCCCCCCCCCCCCCCCCCCCCAAAGATTTCTTTTGTCTCAGCTTTTTTCTACTCTTAAAAGTTTCAGAATATAAAATAAAAGTCAGTATCAGACAATGATGACCTGGTTAAAATACTATTTAGTTTTCAAGCAATGATTTTACTTATTGAGAGAACAAACTCTCCTAACCAATTTGTGTTAAAACTTAATTAAACCTGAAACTCAATAACTGGCTGAAACACCCTCCACTGATTTCCCTCTTTCCTGTTCACTCTCTCTCTTTCTTAACATTTTTTAATCACAATTGCCTGTTTTTGCTCATTTTAATATATTTTTAAACATTTTCTAAATGCTTTTTAATATTTTTACAATTTTTGTTTTTGTGAAGCGCCTCGTGATTTTTATCTTGAGAGGCGCTATAGAAATTATATTTTCTTCTTCTTCTTCTTGGTGGGAACAACTGAAACAAAGCATATGTGAGAACTGGTGTTAAGTTTCTTATGTTGCCATGGAGGAATTTTGTCCTATTTATTTTTATTCAGCTCAATTCAGTTTATTTATGCACTCACCAGCCACTTTATTCAGTAAAGCTGTCCAACTACTCGTTAAAGCAAATTACTAATCAGGCAATCACATGGTGGCAACTCAATGCTTTTAGACATGTTGACATGGTTGAGACGATCCACTGTAGTTCAAACCGAGTTTCAGAATGGGGAAGAAAGGTGATTTAAGTGACTTTGAACATGGCATGGTTGTTGGTGCCAGACAGGCTGGTCTGAGTATTTCAGAAACAGCTAAACTTCTGGGGTTGTCATGCACAAACATCTCGAGGGTTTACAGACAATGGTCTGAAAAAAGGAAAACATCCAGTGAGCGGCAGTTCTGTGGGCAAAAATGCCTTGTTGATGCCAGAGGTCAGAGGAGAATGACCAGATTGGTTCTAGCTGATAGAAAGGCAACAGTAACTCAAATAACCACTCTTTACAACCAAGCTATGCAGAAAACCATTTCCAAATGCACAACACGTCGAACCTTGAGGCAGATGGGCTACAGCAGCAGAAGACCACACCGGATGCAACTCCTGTCAGCTAAGAACAAGAAGCTGAGACTCCAATTCACACAGGCTCACCAAAATTGGACAATAGAAGATTGGAAAAATGTTATCTGGTCTGATGAGTCTCAGTTTCTGCTGCAACATCTGGATGGTAGGATCAGAATTTACCATCAACAACATGAAAGCATGGATCCATCATGCCTTGTATCAACGGATCAGGCTGCTGGTGGTGTAATGGTGTGGGGACATTTTCTTGGCACACTTTGGATTTCTTAGTACTAATCGATCATCACTGCAACGCCACAGCTTACCTGAGTATTTTTGCTGATCATGTCCCTCCCTTTATGACCACAGTGTACCCATCTACTTCCAGCGGGATAATGCCCCATGTCATAAAGCTTGAATAATCTCAGACTGGTTTCTTGAACATGACAATAAGTTCATTGTACTCAAATGGCCTCCACAGTCACCAGATCTCAATCCAATAGAGCACAATTGGGATGTGGTGGAACGAGAGAGTTGCATCATGGAAGTGCGGCTGACAAATCTGCAGCAACTGGATGATGCTATCATGTCAATATGGACCAAAATCTCTGAGAAATGTTTCCAGTACCTTGTTGAAACTGTGTCACGAAGGATTACGGCAGTTCCGAAAGCTAAAGGGGGTCCACCCCGGGTTTTGCAAGGTGTGCCCAATAAAGTGGCCAGTGAGCGTATAGCGCCAGTTCAAAACGAGCATTATTTCGAAACACTTTACTAAAGTAAATGTAAACTGAGCATTGCATTTGATTTATCAATTAATTAAAAGTGTTCTACCTAATGAAACAGCAGATTGGATCAAGTCACTGATTTGTGGTGTCAGAGACTTAACAGCAACCCTCATGCTAAACAAGCATGTGGCAACAGTGAAGAGGAAAATGCCCCTTTAACAAGAAGAAATATCCAACAGAACCTGGCCCAGTATGAGCAACTATCTGCCACGATACAAATGAAACTGATGACTTCAAATAAGATTTTATCAGAATTGTTTTATTTCAGCCATGTGGAAGAAGTTTTAAAGGTATAGTTCATTTAATCAATACATTTGTAGTGGTCTCTAGTAGGAATGAATGCCTTGAAAGTCATTCTCGAGGAAAAATAATGCACTGGTGCACCATTCCTAGGAACTAAACTAACCCGCATTAAGACGGCAGGTTTTGGAGTCTTATTTTCTGATATTTGGATGTCTCGCCTCAGATTGGATAACAACAACATGACTCTACTACTGACTTGCAATGTGGAGGTTTTATCTTTCACAAATAACACAAGCCTGAAAGAGTTCTGCCATGTGGTGAATTTGCTAATGTGAACTGTTAGCGTCTACTAGCTGAGACATTCTCTGCTGTTTCCTGGATGCTAAACCAACAACAGCCTTCCCCGTTGCAAGCCAAGTCTCCATGAATGTTAAGTGACAGTGTGACGGTCTGTCAGGCTTTTCAAATCCAGGATTTTACCGTCTATTTTCTATCTGAAGCTAATGCAGGAGATAGATGTAGGAGACTATTTTCATGTTTGGCCGGCATGAAAAACTCAGATTGACCGATTCTAATCAGACATAATTTTTAAAAAATGGCTTTTCAGTGATTTGCATCTTTCAGGTCAAAGGTCAAACCTTCTAGATTTGCAGACGGAGAGCCTAACTGATGGATTTATCAATTACAGCAAGTGTTCCAAGTGCTAAAGTTGCAAAGGAGCACCGGACCATCACACTACCACCACCGTGTCTGACTGTTTTTCTGAAATACAGTGTTTTTGTTTTACACTAGATGGAATGGTACACACACTTTTCAAAAGGTACCATAGAGAATCTACAAATATTTATCTGAAGCATTAATAACTGGAGTAATCTGGTATTTTTGTGCAAAATTTCTAGCTGATATTAACATTTTTTCGCTATTATCAAATATTTAAGTGTATTTAAGGGGACAAATACTTGTTCACAGCAGTGCATGACAAGCAGCTAATAGTTGCTGAGTCTGACTAAATAAAAATTGTGAGTGAACAAATCAACAGTATTAGGCCCACATCTCATTACAGGTAAAATTTTAGTGTGAAAAGAGTCGAAGAGAATGTCCCCAAACTTCTTAGAAACTCTCGTGATTGACTGACGCTGTGAGCATGCTGCCTGATCAGCGGTTTGTGTATTCCTGTCCATCCTCCTCTGAGCCCACTGATTCTATGGTTGAAGCTCCCAGGTCCCTTGGAGCTCGACAGCGATCTCATTACAGGAAAACTTCAAAGTAAATCTGTGTTTGAAAGTCTAGCCTCAAACCTCAGGTGTCACAGGGTTACAAGAATCATCCTCTTTGCACTGCTTTAAGTCGCTGTAGCTGACGTAGGGCTGAGAATGTTAATGCCACTGGTTATCCTTCCCTCATAAGCCTGTGTAGTTTTATGATGATAATTTTAAATTTAATGAGGCAGGCGCTCCTCTAATTAAAAACATCTTGCCTTTGCCAGTCCGACACGATGCCTGATCAGCGTGCCACTTAACAGACTCTGTGATTTGCTGAGATTACTCTGTGGAGGAGTGAAACAGCTATATAAATATGCAATGCCAGTGTTGTGTAAAAGTTTATAAGAAAAACGCAACCCAGAATTTAGGTGTCTAACCTGCACTGACAATGCGGTGGGTGGCGAGGTGCTGCACCAACAGCTCCATGTTGGGGTCCTGATGGGGGTAGAGCTCCCAGCGTGTGATTCCCAGATGGAAGCGCAGCCAAGGAGGGTGGCTCTCACTGCTTCTGTTCCATTGGATGTCCTCATATCCATCTTGGGTGTCGCTTTTCCTGTAAAACAATAAATAAATTGATGAGTCAGAGATCAAATTACGAGACAATACTCCCTTGCAAACATACTGATAGGAAAAAAAGACATAGGAAAAACGCACAATCTAATGTGATATCACAAGGTTTTGTTTGACTTTTTATTAATCTCACTCAGGGATGTAAATGACTAAGTTAAACCAAATCTTTACTTAGTATCTGTAAAATTGACCAGGCCATAGTCTTTTTGTCTATGCTAACATTGATTAGCTGATGTGGCCGGTCACCTTGAATCAGTTTGAGTCCCAAAGTGAATTAGTACTGGATGAACATGCAATCGTTACTTTGAGAAAGTCTTATTAAAGCCTCCTGCGGTTCATGGGACATTTTACTACAGCTACAGAACGCATGCATCTTTGACCATTTTATAGTTTTGCTGTGTTTGCGATGGGTTCAAACAGTTGATTGTTAGACTGTTGAGCTACAGCAGACGTTGCCTGTGCACTAAACTAAAGCGAGACAACAGGAAGGCATGGCAGCAGCACTACTTTCAGTATTATTCATCTAAGGCAGCAGAAAACTGTGTCGCCTCCCTGCAGTCCGACCCATCTGGGGACATTCAGCAGCTTTCTGTATTTCTTTTCTTCGAAAATTGGCTCTATATATTTCCTTGTAGAATATACCTTCTATATACCTTTTCTTGTAGAATTTGCCCTCTGTATTTATTTTCTTGTAGAATATACCCATTACATAGTTTTCATGTAGAAGATGTCCTCTATAGCTTTTCCTGTAGAATATACCTTTTCTTGTGGAATATACCCTTTGTATTTCTTTTCATGTAGAAGATATCCTCTATAATTTTTCCTGTATATACCGTCTATGTACACCTTTTCTTGTGGAATATACCCTCAATATATATTTTCTTGTAGAATTTTCCTTTTATATACCTTTTCTTGTAGAATATGCCTTCTCTGTATATTTCCTTATAGAATATACCTTCTATATACCTTTTTTGTGTAGAATATACCCACTATATAGCTTTTCTAATATAGCTTTTCCTGTAGAATATATTGTCTATATACCTTTTCTTGTAGAATATACTTTTTATGTACCTTTTCTGGTAGAATATTCCCTCACATGAAGTGTATTTTTGCAGAGATGTTTATGATTTTCTGTATTCATTTCCTTCATCTTATTTTAAAGTCTTTTTCTGGTACTTCATCAATTTAATTAGCATTTTGCAGGGATCAGTTCCCCAGTTTTTCTAGATGGTGATTTGGATAATTTCCTTTCTTGCGTGGAAATAATGAATTAGCTCATCAGAGGTTTAATCTCACACACACTTAATCATACAAAAATAAACAAACACACACACACACCTATTGTCCAGCTGTGTTGTACTGACCACATCAGAGAGCTCTTTTCACTTGCTTTGACCTTCGGTTTCACTTTCAGAAGCCAGTCATCCTCAGGAACTGCAGGTCGGGGTGTGCTGTAAAGTGGATGGTCAAACAGCGCTTTCATCTTCAGCAGGTCAGACTCCCAAGATCCTGATCTGTCAGCTCCAGAGGGGCCTGTGCTCCCAGGCCCACTCATTTGGGTCTTTCTGCCTCCTGTTGTTGTTAAACCTTTATTATAAGGTCCTTTAACATGACTGTTTGTGTCCATTTTGCCATCTTCACTGGAAATGTGTCTTTGATGGTTTCCAGATGGATCACTTCTGATCCCCGTGGACGTGTAGTTGGTGCGAGCCAAGTCTCTGAGGACGTGTGTCCTGGGTGGATGAGGGGTGTCACAGGGCAAGTGGTGAATGGAAAGAGACACAAGCACCAGGAGGAGGTGGAGGGAAATTGTTATGAAGGCCAAGGATAAGCAGATTGTCCTGGCGCGACGGCGTGCACACCAAGTCGTCCAACTGCAAAGAAAGAAGGTCAGAGGAAATGAGAGGAAGGATTAGAAATACAAAACAAATGTGGAGAAAAGCAGTTTGAGAGTTTGTTTAGAGAAAAATGTAAGCCAAAAAAATAACAAAAGCATCAATTATGGTTGCTATTGTATGAATAAATACGCTCATAAACAATATTAGCATCAATATTCCTATTTTTCTGAATTCCCATTTGACTTTGCAACAGCTGTACTACAGTCTGTGTTTAAATCTTTTACAAATAAACCGATAAAAGTTCTACTTACAAACACAATCCTTTGTGTTGCATTTTTCCTCAGACCTTCCTGCTCTTCCTGCTGCTTTTCTGAGTGGAGAACATTCAGCATTCGAGCCGAATTCACCCAAACGCTTGTACTTTCCTCTGCTTTCCACGTAGTGTAGACATGGCGTGGTGCCAGGTTAACGTGATCAGGACTCAAATCAATATGTTTACTCACGGCTCTTTTTAAACCTGGCCTTTTGTGCAACCTGACTCATTTGGTCTCTTCCCTGCAGAAGTAAACCTTGTGGTTCAGGGCTATGCAACACATTTTTTAAAGATCTGAGGCAGACATGAAGACATATTTTACTCTGTGCTGCTGTTTAAGATGGAAACGTAGCTATTGCAGCTCCCTCTGATGCCGCTGTAAAAATGAAGACTACCGAACAAACTTGCTCAGTTATTTATGAAGCAGGAACACTTTTGTTTATGAACTGTCAGAGTTCATAAACTCTGTCGGGACAGAGATGATGAGAGACTTTTGAAATAAATCTTGATAATAGCTTCCAAATCTTTGTTTTTGTCTTCTTTCTAAGTGGCATTCAAGACAGAGGTTGGTTCGAAATAAATTTGGGTTCACTTAAACATGTTTGATTTTGGCTTAAAGGGAAAACTGAGAGAAGCAGAAGTTAAAAGAAAAACACTAATGTGTGTCTTTTTCACACATCCATGAGCTGTAATGGAGGTAGACGTTAACCAGGGAGTTTTAAAAAATAGTTTTTGCACGTGAGCTTACTCTAACACCCTGATCAGGCCTTGTGGAAGATCCCTAAGGATAGCTACTCTTTTCCTGTGTGTGTTTGTGTGTGTGTGTACGTGCGTGCATGTCCATGTTGTGTAAATATGTGCGCATGTCAATTCACACGATGTGTGTCAGATCCACGTGACAAGAAAATCACAGAAGGACTCATTTAAATCAGCTAAGCGAAGCAAACAGTGTTGAACTGTTTGTGTTTTCTCACAGGTGGTCACATTCATTCATTATTTACCAGAACTCAAAACATTTACATGTTTGGTATCAGCTTGAGCTAAATGTAAATTAGGGAGGAAATGCACCTTGCACAAACCTCTGCAAACATAGCATGAGCTCCTGCATAAAACAAAGGCTTCAGGATTTACTCTCTAACAGCTCTGATAAAAAATAAAACAATGTGCTTCTATAAACAACAGAGAAAGTGGAATTTACAACTGAAGTGAAAAGTGAGACGATGTTTGCAAAAGGGTTTTCAAAAGGTCTCAACAAGTTTGTTGCAGCATCTTGTTGTTGTGTTGCTGTGAGCATGCTTGAAAGAACTTACGGATCATCAAAGGCTCAAAAAAGTATTGTGCTTGTTTTGAATTTGTCTAGAACTAGTTTCACTTTAGTCCAAGCAAGACAAAAATGGAAGAAATGTACAACAACTTTGAGAGGAGGTGGTGACCAAATTGCACATAAAATGGCAAAATAAAGATAGTAAAAATTATTTTTTATAAAATACTAAATATGTCAGCCAAATCTTCAAGTGTTACGTAGTAAAACTACTAAAAGCACACAGAGTAATAAAATCTAAAATAAAAACACATTTAAAGCACCTTGAAAGTCCAAACATATTCAAAACAATGGAAAGCCATTGAAATGTTTTTGAGCATAAAATGTCTTTAAAAATTGATATAATTAACCCCTAAATGCTAAATGTACAATATTAGCTCCACATCTGTTCCATTAAAGGTATACTCTACTCATATTTTGTATCTGAAGTGATCTCTAGTAGGAATGAATGTCTTGTAAATTGTACTCTGGGGAAAAAAAGCTCCGGTGCAGCTGTTTGACACTGGAGAATTCACGGAGAGAATGTGGACTCTTATTTAACTGTTATTTGGGCTTCTTTCCTTAGATTGGCTAACAGCAAGCCTCATAAAATAGCACATGCCTGAATGAATTCTGCTGTCCTGTGGAGTTGCTAATGCTAACGTTTAGCTTATACCAGTCGAGACATTCTCTGCTGTTTCCTGGATGTTAAACCAACAACAACCTTCCCCGTCGTGGGTCAAGATGGGTGAGTCCATGAATGTTAGGGGACAGCATGACAGATCTGTCAGGATTTTCCAGTTCCAGAGTTTCTCTGTCTTCTATCAGAAGCTGATGCAGGAGATGGAGGCAGAAGACTATTTTCATGTTCAGCCTGCATGACAATTTCAGTGACCGATTATATGGTATTCAGAAATAATAATAAAAATTGTTTTTCAGTGAATTAGACCTTTAACTACTTCTGCCGTCTTGTGGAGATTTTAAGTACTGCAGGAGATAAGTGTCAATTATATTTTGCTATTAGTGTTGTGATATTGTCCATTGTTTTGTTGAAATTAGCTAGAAATACATTAGCCTTTAGAAAAAAAAATTTTAAATATATAATTAAGACACTATTTGACTTTGTTGTGACAAGAAAATGTGCTTGACGGTCACACGACTGTCACAGTTTGTTCACAATTATGTCACATGACCCACAATCTGAACAAAACATGGCGCCAAAGTGTACAGATACTGTTTCCCTCTTCTGCTACTGGATTAAAATTCTTTCTATTTACAGCATATTTAATCCCATCATTACCTGAAAGGCGTATGATGTAAGAATGTTATCCTGTGGTCAGATTTGGGTACTGCAGCCCATTTTCAAAACAAGTAACTTCTTCACTACCTTCTAGAGCCAGAAAGTTCTAGATGACAAGCGTGGACGACTCATACACCTATCATAAGTTGATAAGTAGATAAATACATTTTACTGGAATATCGAGTTGTTGACATTTGAAAAGTAGCTTGAGATAAGCAATTTTTAGAGCCGATTACTTGCTTCTAATTCATCGTTAGCATTGTTAGCTCAACGTTAGTCTCTAGCCTTTTGTACCCAATGTTCAGAGTAAATCTAAAGGATGTTGATGATTCTTAGGAGTACAGGAAATAACCTCTGGGTCACTCCTGTTTATTGGTTAAGAAGGATCTTTTTTTTAAAGTTGCTGCATTTTGCCGACCAGTATTACAAGTGTTGTTGCTTCAGCGTTTGCTAGAAGAGACTCTACGACCCTGCAGGCTCACAGATGGTAAATGAAGATTACGTCCCTCTTTAGCTTTTTCAAAAGGCTAAAAACTGGCAACCCCCCAGCTAGCTGACAAAGATATCTGTTTTTAATGTTTGAGGCATTAGACCCTTACGTGATTATTTCACTTTAAAATTCTTACATATTGTATAAATAAACTATTTATTCACTTTTCTAAATGTAAGATGTTGAAACATCAAAACAAAAACTTGGAATGTTTGAAACGCATGTTGTTGTAATGGGAATTTAACAGGTTGTTTAAGTGTGTTTAATTAGAAACAAACTCATCTGTATTCAGCAGTGGAAGCCTTCATGTGTAGCATCTCATGCTTCTCTCAACTGAAATGATGTTCAAGGTCAGAGCAGCCTCTAAAATTGAAAAGCATCTAGTTTCATAGTTACATGTAAAAAAAACTTACTGATTTTTTTTTTACTTGTTAATTTTGAATTGGCACAGCTAAAAGATTGCTACAGCCAAGAAGAGAATCTACCATAAAAAAGATGAAAGCATCATCAAAATGTCTTTTCCTCCAGTGTTTTACACATCTTCTGGCTCTTCTACATATTGCAGACTACTTTTTGTCTAAAGGCACTGAGACTCTCCGCATTGATGTATTATAAACAAGCTATTTCAAAGTTAATTCACACTTTCTCAGCCATCTTTTATGTCTTTCATCCCGATACTCACTTTATATTCCCACCCCTTTTCTTTTTCACAAAGCTTTTGCCGTTCTACTTTTTTTCTCTGTCTGGATTTGAGCCAGTGATGCTCACAGATTCAGCTACTGATGGTTGAAATGGGGTCTCACACACACACACACACACACACACACACACACACACACACACATTAATATTGGATTGTGTTTCCCATTTCTCAATAACAAGAAGCACACAAGAGATATTCAGATGAAAGATTCAGCCCTCCCTCTCATATCTGCTGTCGTCTGATGCCTCTCGTCTCACTCGGTTGTCTAACATGATCTTCTCTTAGTCATCCACCACCAAATTCCCTGACTCACTCTTGAAATCTTTGATTTTTTTGAGTCACAGAACTCCAAAAAGAATCAACAACCTTAACAATTATGTATCATTTTTGACCGAATCCTGTGAGTTGTCTGTCATATTAGAACCGACCACCAACTGATTGCTTCTCTTTTTTCCCTCCTTGGTGAGTCAGTAACGCACACGTGCACACGCTCTGGGATGCTCCAAGCCTCCACTTGTCATCACAGGTGGTAAGGGGGTTGCTAAGATACAGCACTGATCTTTTTAACACTGAGAGACGCCTTTAATGAGAGCGCAGAGGATGGCTCAGAAGTCTTTGAAGTCAACCATCAACTGTTACCAAAAGGACTGCTTTAACTGTTCTGGGGAAATAAAATTAATTTCTAATGACTGATGATGTAACAATAAAGGCTCTGACAGTCTCAGATTTTTATCCTATTATGTATTCATCATTTTAAATATTTCATATATTTTTAAATGAATTGTTGCCCAGCTGCACTTTTTGGTTCAGATTTCATTAGCTTTTCTTCCAGTGTCTCCAAGTTGCTGTTTTCATTTAAAGAAGTGCAGAAGACACACATGCAGAAGCTTTACAAGGTTAGTTGGTGAATGCAGTGAGTTTTTTAGTTCATGAGGAACCAGTAATCAAAGAGAAGCTGGTGTTGAAAGAAGCCTAATGACTGTCCAAACAGCTACCAGCTAACTAATGCACTGATACGAATTTTAAATGCGCTGCCCATTTTAAATCTAAGCAATAGCTGTATTACACACATATAAACATGTAGCATTTTAATATTCTGAATTTAAATCAAAGTTATAAACATATTTGGCACAAGTATAAAAACATTAAAAGATATAGCTGATACCAATGGTAAAAAAAAAGCTAATGCTAAATAGATAGAAAGGTTTTTATGCAAACATGTGCAGTAAAAACCGTAAGTACGCTGAGATTAACATATAGCAGAATAATAAAGACATTAAAAGAGAAAATAACAACCAAAAGTTCAAGAAGTCTTTATGATTTTTCTTATTACCATTAAAGGATGTTAATAAATACATAAT